TCCCGAGCGGCTTCTTCAGCTTGGCCAGCTCGGACGGCCACCTGAGCAGCTTCCTCGGCTTCTCGAAGGCGATCCGTGGCCTCTTGCCGGTCAGTTTCACGGGTCGCCTCGGAGGATGTCGTCGCCTCGGCCTGGTGAAGTCTGGCCTCCTCCCGAGCGGCTTCTTCAGCTTGGCGAGCTCGGACGGCCACCTGGGCGGCCTCCTCGGCTTCCCGTAGGCGATCCGCGGCTTCTCGCCGGTCAGATTCCCGCCTCCGAGCCTCTGTGGTCGCCGGGTCCTCGGCCTCAGACTGGCCGGACTTGGGATGGCGGGAGGGACGCGACGGGATCTCGCTGAAACAGAAGAAAGACCAGAAGACAAACAAGATGGATGAGTGAAAACTCGCGTTGAGGGAATGAATACGGCCACGATGGGCGTGGGACGAACCTGCGAGGGGGTCGGTTAAACGACCACCTTGGAGGGGAAATAAGGTTTCCCCGAGATGGTTCTGTCCCCCACATCTTGCGGGGCCGTTTCTTCTTCCGCTCCCCCTCGGGCTGCGACGTCGGCGTGGCCCCCTCCGGGCGCCTGCTGCTGGCACGCGCCGCCCCGCCCCCTCGTGGAGGAGATGGGGGAGGGGTTCCTTCCTGTTTCCTCTTCCCCCGGGCGTCGGCAGGGCGGCCGCTCCCCGGGCCCCTGTCGCGGGGCCCAGAACCATGACCCCCTCCCGGGGTAGATTGTTCCCCCCTGCGGCTCCCGCCCGCGCCATCGTGGCCTCGAGGAGCCCGCTCCTCCGACGCCCCGACCGCCTGCATGATGGTCAGGATGGAGGCGCGGTCTGGATCGCTGCAGAGGGGGAGGACTCCTTGAGGAATGAGGGATGCCTCCACGGAGCTGAGATTCAGCACCCGTTGGACCACTATCTTGAAGTCCTCAGGAGCCCAGTCCCATCTGACTCCCTGGTGAGTCCTCATACAGTCCTCGGACCCGGTGTACTCCCAGGCACCCCGGGCGCGCCGCTGGAGTGGCGCGATCCGGCGACGAAGATAGTCGCCGTACACCATGGCCCCTGTGAGCCCCAGGGATCACAGGCCCGCCAGGCGGTCGAGGACGGCGTCATAGCCATCTCCCAGATCTACCGGCGCCCGCCAGCTGGAGGCCTGCGCCGGGGGCTGGCTCGGAAGTCGGAGGCGCGCTTCGTCAGCTAGGGGGGTGTAGAACCAGTCGCTCTTCCAGTCATCCCACTTCTTGCGGAGGACGCAGGGAATGTAGCGGTTCAACACCGGCCCCCGCGGTTGGAAGTAGCAGCCACCAACCACCGACGGCGGCGACACTGACTGTACGGTGAAGAACCACCGGAACAGCCGAAGGGATGGGCGCACCCCGATGAACATCTCGCACAGGTGCGCGAAGATGGCCAATGTCATTACCGCGTTGGGGGTGATGTGCGCCATCTGGAGATCGTAAAACTCCAGAACATCCATGAAGAAAGAAGAAAATGGCGGAACCAGCCCTGCCATTGCAAAAGGGAGGAAGAAGACGGACCGCCCCGGGTAGCATGGCGCTGGGCGTCCCTCGCCCAGCGTAACTATCTCCCAGCCGGTGGCAGATTCCGGCATGAAGCGGCGCGGCAGCCCGGCCTGCCTCTCGCTCACGATGCGGGAAGGCGGCAGCACGCTACCATCAAGCAAAGCGGAGCCCCGTGCCATGACGCCGGAGGAAGAGATGTTTAAGAGCGAGCGCGTGTGGCGAAGGTAGGGCACAGGAAACAAGGAGTTAGGGCGCAAGCGGCGAAGACAAGGGGAATAATGGCGAGAGGAAGGAAGCAAATCTCTTCCTCGGCGACTTTATACCCTTGCCAACGCTGTGCCCGGCTCCTCGTTTCTCGCGCCCACTATCTTGCCCCCTCGTTTCTCGCGCCCACGCTTCCACTAATCCCATTCGCCCGTTTGCGGTGCATGAGGTGGACATGCGGCTGTGGCAGTCGAGATGGAACATCTCGTGCGCGCGTTAATTACGCTCGCCGACCGAAGCGCCATCACCATATCTCCAGGAAAAACGAACCGGATTGTCCCGATTTTTAGACCGGCCCCACCATGTCACCAGGCCTTAGGAAGTGGCGTCACACCCGACCGCTTCCCTCGAGGAGGGCGATCGCCCTGGCATAACGCCAGGGGCTACTGTCGGTGACATGGGACCGGGAGTATCATGACTTAGAGACTTGAGGCAGACACGATCACCCACGTGGCCTAACCCCCTCGGGGGGGGGGGGGGGGGTCGGGCCCGAGGGTGATACGGCCGCCCTTCTCTTTGTCTCCCCGAGGGGTTGGACCGCTCCCGTCTCGGCCCCGAGGGCCGAGGCGCCCCGACCCCTTGTGGGTTTTGCGCCGCGTATATGGGGTAGGTGAGCATAGCGGGGCTCACCTAACCACATTTATTGCGGTTTGGACGAGCGCGTCACGCCGCATGTAACGCAGTGCAGCGCGCTCGTTTATCCGGTCAGTGACCAGTCACAGACCGATCAGATCGTGGGTTAGGTGGCGACAGGCGGTCTGACGCACGCCTCGCCCCATCCTGTCAGGACGAGAGCCTCCAAGCACTCGTCCCTAGCCGGAGCCGGCGTGTTAGCTCCTGGAGATGGCACGTTGGTTCCGGTCAGATATATGCCAGGCTTCATCCTAACCATTACAGGCAAGATATTGTATGAAGAAGGGCGAACATGCAGATTTATAGACTGACGCGTGGTGGACAAGAATGACCGATTTGTGACCGGTCTGACACTGGTCATGTCGTCAGCAGACAGCCATTTTCCCACGTCGCGCCTGCTTCCGGCGGAAGTGGAGGTAGGTATGGGCTGTCCCATCAGAAGGTCATTCGGACGGCAACCATACAAGTCTCCGTCTGTTTATGAAAAGATAGGATAAGTCCCCACAAAAAAGAGAGAGATGGTGCATGTGGTATCCCCTTGAGGTATAAAAGGAGGACCTTGCCCACTTAGAAGAGGAGGATTTTCGGATCCAGAAAGATCAGAGAGGGAGAAAGTAAGAGCTCTCTGGTTCTCCAGCTCTTTTGTAGCTTCTTCATACACAGATCCACCAAAACACAGGAGTAGGGTATTACGCTTCTCAGCGGCCCGAACCTGTATACATCGCCCGTGTCTTGTGTGTTTCCACTCTCGCGAACCTTCCACACTCAGACCAGGAGCTTAGAATCTCACCCAGGGCCCCCGGCCGAACCGGCAAAGGGGGGCCTGTGCGGTCTCCCGGTGAGGAGCCCCACGCTCCGTCACCTGCCATCCTCTCTCCCCCTTCCCTTCTTCCTCCTCCCTCTCTCTCTCCCCTTCTTTTCCTCTTCGGCTGTCTACAGGGAGCGGCGGCGGCGGTGGGCAGGTGCAGGCCAGAGCGGCGACTACGGGCAGGCGAGGGACGGAGAGCGGCGGTGGAGGGAGGTCGAGAGCTAGAGCAGTGGCGGCTAGGCCTACGATGGAGGGGGACGCCGCCTAAGCCATGGTTGTGGATTGCGGCACCTAGCAGATCCCCCATGACGCGCCGCCGTGGTCGGCTCCGATGAAAAGCCATGCCCCCACGCCACGCCCCATCAAGAGAAGGCGAGGTGGGGGTCGACCGCCACAAGGGGAAGGAGGCAAGCTCGGAAGTGCGGAAGGAACGCCAATAGACGGCTCGGGCACCGGCGACGCTCGCGACCAGATGAGTGGGATGGTGCCGGACGGTGGACAAATCCCGCCATTCCTTCCTCTCACGGCCTCCACCTCAATTGACGCGGTGTGGGGGCACTACGGCTGACGACGGTGCGCACCGCTCTCCGTTGGGGCCGACGGCGCAACGCAGCATTGGGGCGTCGTGGCCGACGACGGTGCGCGTGGATCTCCGTCGGGGCCGACGACGTGAAGCGGTGTGGGGGCATCACGAGTGATGGCGGTGCACGCAGCGGGCGGCGAAGGGAGAGCTTGTCCAACACCTTTGGAAGCAGCTTGAACGCGCCCTCGGTGGCAGCGGAGCTGTTCTTGTCCGGGTGCAGGACGAGGCAGAGGCAGCGCCCTCAGGCACGGTGCCCCCTGGATCCAGTCGTTAGGTCCTCGTTGTCGCCGCCACCGCTGCCCTGGATTTAGCCATTGGGCCGTCACGCCGCCAATAAGAAGAATGGAGGATATGGAGAGGGAGAGGGGGAAGAGATTATTAGAGGAAGGGGATGACAGGTGGGCCCTTTTAAAAAATACTAGTATTTGACAACTAGGATACCACGTGGACACCACGTCAGGGAAACCACTCTCCAAGAACATCGAGGGAGTCAAATTACACCGTTTCAATAATAGTTAGGGGATCGATATATCCGGTATTGCGGTTCGAGAATTCAAATTAGATTTGGTCACTAGTTAAGGGAGTCAGAGTGAACTTATTCCTTGGGCCTAAGATTGTAGGGTTCCATATGAGACTTTGGGCCATTATTGGCCCATGGCTCTAGCTTCAATGTAGTGTCATTTTGAGTTTTCTACCTTCGTTTCAATGTGTTTGAATTGTCAACTAGTTTTTGAGAGGCATCCATGACCATGATGTAGTGAAAATATACAGTAAATGGATTCTTGTTACCATGTACTCCATAAATATTGTGAGAGATGTTAAGAGTTACTATCAAGATATGGCACAATTATTGATACGAAGAGAATAAAATATGTTATGGTAGGTCCTAATTTTTTTAATCGTAACAAGGCACGCGGTAAGCTTAGATTAGAGGGACTCATCTTATTTCTCTCCCCTTCGCATAGACACGTTGTGGTGTCCATCTTACCAGTTACTTTTCCTGACAACAGGTTTACCTACATTGTTTGTTGTCCGGTTTGGGAATAACTATGGTTGATGTCCAAATAATTGTTACAGTATTTAACTGTGATGGGGAAATGTTTGTGTTTATTATGACGACCGCGAGAAAACTGAAATAAGACAAAGTCTTGATATTATTTTTCACACATATTTCACCATTTTTACAACAAACCCCATATTGATGTCATGGCTCACGCATCTTGATATTATTATTCACACATATTTCACCATTTTTACAACAAACCCCGTATTGATGTCATGGCACACGCATATCATGTATCCATGACTATGTACAGATTAACACGCCCGATTTATCAGAAACGCGGCAGAAAAATAACTGATGAAAAACTCCTTCAGAACATTAAGCAAGATTCACTCTAGTTCACAACTTAGATCACACATCTACACCCTATAGAAATCACATCTCACGTGATGACGCACTGGTCAGTTAGTAGGAAGCAACATCGTCGAGGTCGTTCATCTTGAGGTGGAGGTGCCTCTGCGCGAAGGCGTAGAGCCTGACCATCTCGTCGCGGTCCACGACGCCGTTGCGGTTGGCGTCCGCCTCGCGCATCGCCTCCCTCGCCTTCCACCACGCGAACCACAGGTTGAGGCTGCGCAGCGCGCGCTCCAGCTCCTCCCGCCCGATCCGCCCGTCGCCGTTCGCGTCGAACTGGCTCAGCCACGCCCTGAACTCCTCCACCGTCGTCTCCCCCTGCGGCAGCGCCCGGTGATACCGCATGAACGCCATCTCATACGATCCCCCTCTTAATTAATTCCTTCTCCCTGCCTAGCTTCTCTAGTTCTCACCACACCGCGTACTCCTCCTCTTCGATCTGTGCCTGAATTGTGAAACTTCTATCCAATGTACAGCAGTATATCCACTGTCGAGGCATGAACGATGGCTAAGTTGCTTTATATATGGTGCCCGATTCAGAAGGCGCGAGAGGTTTACAGTTCGGTCGCCGCACGTTTTGTCACGCCGGCGGCTCCCCGCCGTCCGGCCGGCAGGTCGTGGAGGATACGAGGCCGTGGAATTCTGGTGCATTGTTAGGCAAGACCGATCGGTGCAGCCGCTTGTTTTTTTGACAGGTAAAGATTCGTTGCTTGGACAACGAACATCGTAAGTTCGTGGATGGTATGCATGGGGTGAAGAAGAATCGGATGCCAATTCGCGCGTTGATCGGTAGGCTTCTTCCACCTTTGCTGCGGCCAGATCGACATGGTGCATGGTCCTATATATTGCTTGCACTCGACCGTCGTTGATCTGGCATTCTATTCTTGCAGCGATGCTGAAGCTGAACTCGTCTTGTGATGGGCAACTAGAGAAGCGGTACTACTAATAATTGTGTTAGTCGCAACCAACGGACAATGCTTTGATCGATTTCTAAAAGGATAATCACACAAGCAACCATGGCCATATGCTTAGCCATTAGGTAAGCGTTACTAAGGAATTTCAGCGTAATCCTAACTTGACGCTGCCTTATACTATAAGTAACCCATCTAATTAAACCGTTGTTAGCTTACCAAAGATGAGACAGAGGAATTAGACTATTGGTTATTGAACCTCCAAGGTTTCCCACGTGAGTGAGTACCTATAATCGAGGCTGAGAAAACCAATGAGCAAAGAATTTGCTGTATCCACCCAAAATCTGAATACCTTTCCTGTCCCCTGAATAAACTAAATATAAGTTCTCTTCAGGTATCACTATTCTGCATTAATCATCTTCACGAGAAAAGGAAAACAATACTGGCAAATATTTCTATTATCTGAAAATGCAAATTCTAAAGCATGGTTGTAATCCACGGATCAACTTTAGTATTTGCAGTATCAGAAATCCCTGGAAATGATACCAGCTGTTCATAGACCTATATTGATGCGTAGGATAAAATTCTTCTATTCAGCATACATATATGTATTAAAAATTGATAACTATTATGCTTGTAGGTTCACCACATCACTTTCACTCAAATTTAAGAAAAGCACCCCCACCCCCTCCATCTATCTATTATATTATTAAAGGAATAGAAAAAGGAGCCTCCACGTTCGCTCTTATAGCCTAGAAATTCTCACATTAATCGGAGAAAAAGAAAAAGCTGAGTCCATATAGAAATACAATTTAAAAATTTAAAAATAGCTGAAATTCGGAATTAAAAAATAAGGAATATTAGAAGAGAAGACTAGAGTCCATATAGAAATACAATTTAGAAATAGTTGAAATTCGGAATTAAAAAATAAGAAATATTAGAAGAGGAGACTAGAGTCTATATAGAAATAAAATTAGGAAATAACTGAAATTCGGAATTTAAAATAAGGAATATTAGAAGTAGAGTATAGAATCCATATAGAAATACAATTAGGAAATAATATAAATTCGGAATGAAAAACAAGGAATATTAGAAGTAGAGTATAGAGTCCATATAGAAATACAATTAAGAAAAAAATAGAAATTCGGGATTAAAAAATAAGGAATATTAGAAGTATAGTATATAGTCTTATATTATTAAAGGAATAGAAAAAGGAGCCTCCACGTTCGCTCTTATAGCCTAGAAATTCTCACATTAATCGGAGAAAAAGAAAAAGCTGAGTCCATATAGAAATACAATTTAAAAATTTAAAAATAGCTGAAATTCGGAATTAAAAAATAAGGAATATTAGAAGAGAAGACTAGAGTCCATATAGAAATACAATTTAGAAATAGTTGAAATTCGGAATTAAAAAATAAGAAATATTAGAAGAGGAGACTAGAGTCTATATAGAAATAAAATTAGGAAATAACTGAAATTCGGAATTTAAAATAAGGAATATTAGAAGTAGAGTATAGAATCCATATAGAAATACAATTAGGAAATAATATAAATTCGGAATGAAAAACAAGGAATATTAGAAGTAGAGTATAGAGTCCATATAGAAATACAATTAAGAAAAAAATAGAAATTCGGGATTAAAAAATAAGGAATATTAGAAGTATAGTATATAGTCCATATAGGAATTTAAAACTACCTAAAATTTGGAATAAACATAATAAAATTAAAAGTAGAGTTTTGAGTCTGTATAAAAATATAATTTACAAATAACTAAAATTCGAAATTAAGAAAAAACATGACAGTTTAAAGTCAATATAGGAATACAAGTAACTGAAATTCGAAATTAAAAATTAAAGAATATTGAAAGATGAGTTTAGAGTCCACATAGAAATACAATTAGAAATAATAAAAATTCAGAAATAAAAATAAATAATATTGGAAGAAGAGCCTAGAGTCTATATAGAAATACAATTTACAGAAAATTCGGAATTAAAAAAAGAAATATGAAAAGACGAGTCTAGAGTCCATACATGAATATATATAACTTACAAATAACTAAAATTTGATATTAAAAATAATTAATAACTAACATGTATATAAAATACAATATGAATATTACACATTTGTAGTTTCGTAAAGTTGTTGCAAAATTTAAAATTATGATGTCATTTTAATATATTTGAATAATATAATAAGAAAACATATATGCTATTATATAAGAGAAAATATAATGATGCTAGCCGCGTAATCTGCGCGGACCACCATGCTAGTTTTACATGAAACAACATTCGTTTGCTCCCTGCACACCTGGTGACCTGAAATGAGAGGTACTACCTTCATTTTAAGAAGATATTATTTTAGCCAAGCCGGTTTAAAATAAACGAATCAAATGTACACACAAATTTACTTCAAAAACTTTATTGTTGGTTATAGATCTGCATAAGTTCATTATTAGCTTTTCATTAATGATTCTAACTCTGGGAAGCTTCAACAGTGATTCTGGAATCCATCCACTCGGAAGGTAGTCTGTGTAGTCGCTAGCTGGTGTTGTCACTTTTGGAGACTTGTTAGGAGTGTAGTGCGGCTCAGCCCCTTCCCGTTGTTTGGAGTTTTGCTTTAACCGCCGTAGTTTTTCTAAGCTTCAGTTTTTTATTTTGCTTTTTCTTTTTTCTCTTGGTATAGGCCGGTCTAGCTGATTGAGTTGTGTAACTGTAACTTTTTTTTTCTAATATATTGACGTGTAATCTTTTGCGTATTCGCGAGAAAAGCTTCAACAGTTATGCATTATTTAGTACGACTTGACTCTTGACCGAAGACTTGTGAGAAGCTCTTTGGGTCCTTCCTAACAGCCGTATCAAATAAAATCGAACCGAGCCCACCGTACCAAACGAAATAGGAGTACTAGTTGTCACTTGTCAGAGCTGGAGAATTGAACAAGAAGTTGTCCTAACAAATTTAAATAAAAAAAACTGCCATTGGCCAATTATGACTGTAAGATTACAGTTTGTTTATATCACACATTTATACTCTCTCTCTCTTTCTCTCTTCAAAGTTACGGGTTTGTCCTAACTCAGTTTTTTTTTCGAGTTTAACTAAATTCATAGGAAAACGTAGTAACCTTTACAATAATAAATTAGTTACATTAAATATACCATTTAATACATTTTTTGTATTATTTTTTTTGGGGGTAAATATCATTATGTTTTTATATTAACTTAGTCAATTTTTCTTTATAATAATTTGACGAGGACAAATCCAAAACAACTTAATAGAATGTAGTACAAACACATAGAAAGGAAAAGGAAAAGAGTTGCTTTTACAAAAGAGCCAACTTTATATATGTTATATCTAAGTGAGACTAGTTAAAATCAAGAAATTAGAGGAAAAATGGAAATGGTAAAAGTGGATAGAATATTTCAAACCATTCATGTAATTATACTCCATCCATCCTAAAATATAAAAATCTAGTATCAGATTAGACATTTTATAGTACAACGAATCTGATTAAGGGTGTGTTTAGTTCACGCTAAAATTGAAAGTTTGACTGAAATTGGAACGATATGACGGAAAAGTTGGAAGTTTGTGTGTAGAAAAGTTTTGATATGATGGAAAAATTGGAAGTTTGAAGAAAAAGTTGGGAACTAAACCAAGCCTAAGCTTTCTTTTTAGATTCATAGTATTATAAAATATCTAATCCGATACTAGATTTTACCGTTTTGGGACGGATGGATCGAATAGATGATATGAACAATTGAATACTACGATGCGGATGCACAGCTGCAAACACTGTAACGATCATTTTTTTTGTGCATGATGATAATGTTATTGTAACTGCCGCAACAAGCTGCACCGAACATGTTCATAGTTTATACTCGCCTCTTTCAAAATACATCAATTTATGGTTGGACAAGACATATGATTTGTTCAGATCCATAGTAACAGAATAAGCTGCAACGAAGGTACGAGTAGTACTGTAGTTAACAGTTGCCTTAAAAGTTTACAAGTGATATTACTCCAACGGCTAGACAATGAAGTGTGAATGATGAGTACGCCCTATATGTGCTGGCCGCTGAGGTATACAGTATATGGGCCAACGGCCACATGACGAAAATATTTATTGACTTGAATTGGTTCCTACACTTCATACCAACTTGTTGCTTCAATTATCCAGCTTTGGAAACTCGCTGTTTGTTTCTTGGTTCGATTAATAATGAGCCCGACGGTTCGACGTACTGGAGCTGGAGAATCCTTTAAAGCACAACAAGGTAAGGAGAACCAGGTCTTGCCTTCCGCTTTAGCAGAGGCATAAACAAAGGTCTGTATTCCCAAGCAATGTATCCCTCCGCCCCTCCCGACGCGTATAACAAGTACAGCGCCGGTGCTCCACCGACGGCGCCGCCGCCGGCAACGTACCAGCTGCCGACGATGAACACCCCACGCACCGGCGGCGGGCTGACGCGATGGTCCACCGGCCTTTTCCACTGCATGGACGATCCCGGAAACTGTAAGTCCTTCAGTCAGTCAGTTTTCCCACATGTTCTTCAGAGTTCAGAGTTCAGAGCAATAGATGGTTGCCGGCCCATGGTTGCTCAATCACACCTGTCGTTTCTCTCATGCAGGTCTCATCACATGCGTGTGCCCCTGCATCACCTTTGGGCAGGTCGCTGACATCGTGGACAAGGGCACCTGCCGTGAGTTCTCCCTTCTTCTCCTTCTTACCAGCGAAAGATTTTGGTCCATTCACCAGCTTGTTCGTTGATTCGGTGCGTGTGAAACTGTGATCGATTTTGCAGCATGCCTCGCGAGCGGGACGGCTTACGCGCTCCTCTGCGCGTCGGGGATGGGGTGCCTGTACTCGTGCTTCTACCGGTCCAAGATGAGGGCTCAGTTCGACCTGGACGAAGGGGATTGCCCCGATTTCCTCGTCCATTTCTGCTGCGAGTACTGCGCGCTGTGCCAGGAGTACCGGGAGCTCAAGAACCGCGGCTTCGACTTGGGGATCGGTAGGTGCAAGCACTGAAGCACAGTAGATTCTTCGCTTGCAAGCAAGAAATATCTTCTACTAGTACTACTTTTTTGAGGAGCACTCGAACTGACGAATAGTGTTTTCTGGTAAGGTTGGGCTGCCAATGTGGACAGGCAGAGGCGAGGCGTCACCGGAGCGTCGGTGATGGGAGCTCCTGGCGTCCCGGTCGGCATGATGAGGTAGACGAAGATGGCGAACGCGAAATGGTGCGCTTTTGTGTTCTTGTGTTGCAATATGTTCTCTGTGGTTTTCATTTGGAGATCACTGCCTATTTCATGTATCGTATACTCCTATTTAGCTTGATTTGTTGGGTTTCATGTAATATATGACGCATTCAGAAGTGTTGTGACTTGTCAAGACACAGTAATGGGATTTGGTGAGAGATCGAATGAGCACATTGGAATTAGGCTGTTATTCTTCCTCCTCCTTTCCCAACTAATATATCTCGCACGCACACACTTTATAAACTGCTAAACGTCATTTTTTTAATAACAATTTATATGAAAGATGCTTTCAAAATAATCGTATTAATCTATTTTTCATATGAATCTATTATTTATGTGCTAATGAGTTACTCTGTTTTATGGATGGATTAGTTTCCATCCCAACCGACGAACGCAGCCTAATTATTCCTGCCAAGAACAGAAAAGAGAAAATTCTTGAAGGTATCAACTGCAAGTAGAGTGATTTCTGTTCTGCACTCCTGCAAATTTCTTCGCTGGGTGAGAAAATGGGAGGAAGGGAGAAGGCGAACAGGCCAATCCAACGCTGGTGCGGTCGGGCCACCCCAATCAACTCCCCGGGCCCACTAAACAGCCCAAACACGGTACTAGACCGACCAGACCGCATGAACTCGTAAGGAATAAGTTCACTTCATGACCCTCAAAAGTGATCGAAATATAATCCATGACCCCAAACCACAAAACCGGATATCTTGACTCCCAAACTCTTAATACCGGTGCAATTTGACTCCTTGGACGGTTTTGAAGGGCGGTTTCGCTGACGTGGCGCCTACGTGGCAGTATTGACTCGGTCTTCTTTCTACGTGGCGTTGACGTGTCGCTAAGGTGGCATTAGAAATAAAAAATATGTGTGGGACCCATCTGTTATTCACACACAAAATAAAAAGTGGGGCCCACTAACATGTGGGCCCCACATATCATCCTCTCTCTCACTACCCTTCTTCCTCCTCTCTCCGTTGACATGAGCCGCCGGCAAGAGGGGGCTTGAGTGCCGGTGGTGGTGGGTGGGTGCCGGAGTGGTGGTGGACGGTGTACCTCCGGCGACAGGCGCGGGAGCAGCTCCTTCTACCACACTAGGCCTCGGGCGACGGTGGGCGGTGGACGGTGGGGAGTATGGGCGGCGGGAGCTAAAGAGGCGGCGATAGACGGTGGGGAGCACGGGCGGCGGGAGCTAAAGAGGCGGCGGCGGCGACGGGCTGGACCGTCCGGCTGCTGCCCGCCCCTTCTATCTCCTCCTCGTAGTCGTCGGCGTCGACCTCCCCGACCATGCCGAGTACTAGATCGAGACCAGCCGTCCGCCGCCGCTCTCGTCTCTGACCTCATCGGCTGCGGCCATAGCCACCACCCACGGGACGCGTCGCCGCCGCTCCGGGTAAGCACGCGGCAGCGCTGTCGCGAGCGCGAGTGCGGGAGGAGGCACCGGCGGCGGCGGTGGCGGCGACAACACGAGCTCGGCGGCTCCGCCTCTCCCCTCTCCCTTCTGGCCCTTACACACCGCTGCCGCCTCTCTCGTCACGCATCACATCCGTTTCCTCCCTCACCTGCTCTCCTCTCCTCTCCTCTCTCCACTTGGCGAGGCTGTCGCCACCGCTTCAGCTTCCGCCGCCGCTCTGGCCCCCGCCCGCCGCCGCTCCAGCTCCAGCCTCCCATGCTCCCCACGGCCGGCCGAAGGGGAGAGGAGAAAGAGAAAGAAAGAGAAAAGGGAGGAAGAAGAAAGGGAGAGAGAGGATGACATGTGGGGCCCACATGTCAGTGGGCCCCACAATTTTTTATTTTGTGTGTGAATGACAGATAGGTCCCACGCATATTTTTATTTCTAATGCCACCTAAGCGCCACGTCAACGCCACGTGGAAAGAAGACCGAGCCAATACTGCCACGTAGGCACCACGTCAGCGAAACCGCCCTCCAAAACCGCCCAGGGAGTCAAATTGCACCGGTTTTAAGAGTTTGGGGGGGGTCGAGATATCCGGTTTTGTGGTTTAAGGTCATGGATTAGATTTCGATCACTTTTGAGGGTCATGAAGTGAACTTATTCCAACTCATAAACGCCAGAATCCCACGCGTTTCGGCCTACTGGACCTTTCATTCGTACGGGCTCGTAACTCTTGTTTAGTGGGCCGTGTAAACGTCTTGAGAAAATCCGCGGCCCCTTTCGTCTCGTGTCGTAACACTCTCGTGCGATTGCGATCTCCGCCAATGCTCCTTTCCCCGCACGAGGCCGTGCCGTGTGCGCACGAGTGATTCTTCGTCGCAACCATGGATGCCGACGACGAGACGAGGCCAATCTTTCTGGATTTCTTTTACCTGGCCTCGCTGATTCGGAGACGCTCACGGGGTGTTTAGATGGGGCTAAATTTTTTTAGCCCAGGTCACATCGAATGTTTGGACGTTAATTTAGAGTATTAAACATAGACTAGTAAAAAAACTAATTTCGTAAATAAGAGTTAATCCGCGAGACGAATTTTTTAAACCTAATTAATCTATAATTATCAAAAGTTTACTGTAGCATCACATTATTAAAATTATGGCATAATTAGACTTAAAAGATTCGTCTCGCGAATTAGTTCAATGTTATAAAATGAGTTTTGTAATTAGTGTATGTTTAATACTCTAAATTAGTGTCAAAACATCCGATATGACAGGAACTTGGAATAAGTCTCTGTAAACCAAACAGCCCCGGAAGTGAACAAGCGGACAAGCCATGTGAGCGGTGACATGATGCGGCCGGTCACGTCGTGCCGGCCATCGGCTCATGGATGAACAGTAGGAGAAGTGGGCCAAAATTACGAGTTTCTTCTCCGTCCTGGATGCCGCGGCGTGCAGTGCGTGCTCGCAATTATATATACTCGATCGCGCCTGCTCGGTGACTCTCCGGCCGTCTCACCGACGACGGCGATGAAGAGGCAAGAGCGTCGTCAGGCGAGCACACCACACGCGTTGGTTTGCTGCGCGAACAAACTCGATCTAACGAGTGCACAGTGAAGCGTGGCTAGATTCACAGGGAAAAGGCTGGGCTACTTATGAAGAAGTCCGAAATGAATACGCTCCTGTTTGATAGCGATCTTTGCTGTTTGCATAGCACACGGTGCTAGTAGTACTACTGAAAGATTGAAAGGAAACAGCAGCTTGATGTGCCATTCGGCGGCCCACATTGAAAGGAACCATTGGGGAAATGGCGTCCGAGCGGCCGAAAAAAAATCGGACGTCTGGAACGATTTTTCTTCTAAACTAATTATTCAATCCACGATCCGATCATACCGTTGTATTCGTTGCAACTAAATCTTTATAACAAAACCACATATGATTATATTTTGATAAAAAAATATTTTGGCTTTTTTATTGATATTTTTTAAAAAATGATGCATATGGTTTTTTAGATGTTTTAACCAGTAGTTTTACGTTGTTTCAGCTAGTGTACTCGTGATGTTTCACTATATACAGATCAAATGTTGCAATGGATTTTGATATTATAGAACGCGTCGTTGCAACAAATCACTCACATATTTTGGAGATCCTCTATTAAGAAAATTTATTTTTTTTTGTTCCACAAAAAATGTTTCACCTGGTGTACTCACAATGTTTCACTATATATAGATCTAATGTTGTAGTGAATTAAAACATTCCATTGCAACAGAAAAACCCACATATTTTAGAAATCCCCTATTAAGGGAATTCGTTTCATTTTTTGTTCCACCGAAAAATGTTTCATCTAGTGTACTATAATGTTTCACTATGTATGGATCAAATGTTGCAGTGAACTAAAACATTCTTTCGCTATTTGCTGAAACATTGTTTTTATATAAGGTGAAACAACATCCGATTTAAACGAGTGAAGCATTTTCGATCTACTTAGTGCAACAATTCCGATATACCTAGTGTAACATCGTGTAACATTTAAAAATAATTCAATAACTAGGTAAAAAAATTTCGTCGGAATATATTCATGTGTGGTCTTGTTTTGAAGATTTAATTGCAACGAATTTAATGGTGCAATCGGATCATGATTTGGATAAGTAATTTAAAAGAAAAATCAATTTAAAGAAAGTTTACACGTAAATCGGGCGCTAACGTCAGCGCCCGATTTCCACCTCTGATCGGGCGCCCGACGGGGAGTCGTGTCCGAATCATTTCGTTGCTTCTTTATGCAGTTGAGCCACCGTTTCTTGATGGAGTTCCGCTCGTTAAACTGGCTGTTTCTGGTATACTCCACTTGGTAGTCGGTACTTGGTAGTTCTCGTCTTGTGTACCTAAATGTCGTATGCACTATGCAGCCAGGGTTTAGGGAAGGTTACTGTACTTAACGGTAAGCCTGGTTATCACATTGAACAGTGAAAAGAGCGAACGAAATATTAGTGAAATCAGGGATACACAGTTGGTTTTTGTCTCTTAAAGCTAACGTGTATTAGAGGGTGCATATGTGAGATGTGAATGTAGTGTTGCATGCCCAGTGGTGCGTGTGCATGTACTCCATCATATAGTCATAAAAAAATATTTTTGTTTAAGTATTTTAAATTTGACTTACCGTTACCCCTGTCCCTCGATGATCATCCTTACCTTTTGGATGGGATTGCCACCGAAGTGAGCAGGCACGGCGGTTGTGCCGTGCCTCCTCGCTCCTGCACTCCCTGTTAAGGAATTGCGACAGTTGGGTCACGGCTCCGCGCACTATTCGGTTGCCACCAATCCCCCTAAATATATATATATGTGTATGCAAGCCATTGGTCAATGAAAATTCATTCATCTCATTCAATCCTCTCGCTCTCGCTTTGAGTTTCAACACGTTATCAGCACTGCTTGCGAAAAAGAAGAGAAGGGAGAAAGAAATCAATCAAGGAATCAGTGGCCTCCCTCATCGACAGCGGACTCGCCATCTATATTATCTTATCCGTCGTTTTGTGATGCCGCGCCGGGGCTACCGCATTGCCCATGTCACCCACCATAGAGCCCAGATACGGGGTTGGTAGCTGCCGCCACCACCCTAGCGTCGCGTGGTCACCGATGCTGGGCTGATCACCACCCCGCTGGCCCATACATTGCCGAAAGCTGTGACGCCTCCACCGCGTCCAAGTCCAAAACGTACAATATTGTACCGTCCAGTGTCACACTGGAGCGTCTCTTGCTTGTTGCTCTCACCGGATTTGGAGTCACCGTCGGCTTCTAGTGGCGCTGCCCCCACTATCACCAACTCCACAACCGCCACAATCAAATGGAGGCGAGGAGAGGCTGCAAGGTAATATGTTGTAATAGAAACCTTGATGGTTGCACCACTATCTAGAGTGTGCGTGTACGATTTTTCGGTAAAAGAGAATACAATTAGTTTTTATACACACATGAATCCTTAACTTTATCACTTTGTTTTTTCCTTTTGAGAATAATAGACGCTTATATACACGCGTGCATACTCAATGTAGTGAGCATGAACAAAGTGGTTATATAGACCATTATTGACAGGTACACAATTATTCACTTACTAAAAGTTAATTACATAAATAATTAATAATAAATACAAACAACCTAAATCGGGGACTTTAACCTAATCATGCCACCGGTGGGAACCTAACAAGGTTGGCGGTTTTTCCTACATTTGCTTCTAGCACAAAACTATATCCGGGTCCATTTGCCTGTTTGGTAACTAGGGTTGGCAATAGGGCAGGTCGGGGGTGGGTTGGTCTGGAACTCCCCCGCCCTTGATCCCCGACTTCTTCACCCGACCCCGGCCCCAATGTGAGATACGGGGCCAAAACACCACCTGGCCCCGGCCCTGGCCCCGGCCCCTCCGGGGCCCCGCAATAAGAGTGAGCATTCCATCCAACCAGAAAATAAAAATGCAAAACAATCCATCAATTCAACAAGAATACTAGTACACAATCAGCAATTCAAGAATTCAGCAGCAGTAGTAGTTCGATTTACTCCATCCATGAACTAAATGCACAACCACAAATACTTGACAACAGTAGTAGTTGCCTGTCTGCTGCCCCTCCCGGCTGCTTATCCCGCTCGTTGCCCCACTCACCACTTGCACGCCGCCCTGCTCACCGTTGTGCCGCCTCATACCATAGTCCATAGCAGCCCGCCTGCGCACCTCGCCGTGGGCCGTCGCCGGTCGCCGCGCTGCCTGGTGCGTCGAGGGAGAAGGGTGGAAAACAGAGACCGGAGTCGAAGAGAGAGGGGTGGAGGGAGAGGGGCGGTGGTTGGTGGAGCACATGAGCCGTGGTCGCCGGTCAGTGGAGGCGCCTGGAGACTAGAGAACGTGTGGCGGCTGTGAGGATAGAGGATAGGGAGAGGTGAGAAGTGAGGATAGTTAGGTTTTAGGGAGGGGTGGATTGGGCTTCTCGGGCCTTTACTGTAATGGGCTGTATTTTAACCTTTCGAGATCTAATATACCTACCTCGGGTCCCCGCGAGTCACCCGCGGGTGCATTTTCTCCCCCGTCCCCGCACCCGGCCAAGACCGGGGCCCCGACCCGGCCCGAAGCCCCACGGGTTGAAAACTATACCCGCCCCTGCCCCTGTAGGGGCGGGTCTCCGCAGGGTCCCGGCCCGGTGGGGCAAATTGCCATTTCTATTGGTAACAAGAGTAGAAGACCATAAAGTTTTATGGAACTAGTCTCCATGTGTCTGCTTGCAGCATTGCAGGTATAAGACGCCACATATTATTGTTCTAGACAAGACACATGGCAGCAAGCTAAAATACCCAGTATATGCAGAAAAGGCCAAATGATTACAGGAGGCTGCCTGCGCACTTCCATTGCACTTGCGAGACGGCTGCATGACTGCATCAGATCTCTGGACAGAAGACATGACACCAAACCTCGACAAAGCGAAAATTACATAATTAACCTTAATTAGTAGAGTTGGGAGTACAACCACTGGCCGTCCAACACGGAAGCAACGGTGGATTGCAGCTTATCAGATACCAACTACCACAGCTTGTATGGCCAACTTGGTCATTACAATTAGTTTGTTTCTGGCGTTGAAAGATTCCAAGGTAGTACTTGTTCCATTATCAATCCACCTACCGCTATCTAAATGGAGCTCGAGTAATATTAGTGATCCCGAAGTCTGACACCTATGAAACCGATGTACCATTTGTGGAAGAATCAAATCACATGACTTTTTGGAAGTCGTCTTCTTCCAATCAATTCACCCCTACAACGAGCGAAGAACCGGCAAGATAACCACAAAGCCATGTGGGCACTGATGGAACCCTGAACACCACAAATGGTCTTATCGATCTGAATTGGCGGCCCGAGTTAATCGGATGCTGTTCTATCACAACGAGCAATACGTGCAGCGATCGATCCATCTCTCTGAAAAGCAAAAGGAGAAAAAAGGGTGCGAAAGAACAGCGTCGTCCAAATTAACAAAATTTTGAAGGGACTACCTATACATTTGTCGACAAATTTTTCCCCAAAAATTTGACAGATGTAATTATAGTACAATTGTAGTGTAATTACACTATAACTTATATGTAATTACACTGTAACTTGCATGTAACTACAGTGTAACTTATATGTAAGTTTCACATAATTTTAAATCGTTAGATCTATTACAAGATTTGTTTTGGTGAGGAAGAAAACAAATCATAGCACACACATATATGAAATAATTTGTTCCCACGACCTTCATTTTACCGAAATATTATGTTATGGAGAGATTTTTGAAAGTTACATACAAGTTACACTATAGTTACAGTGTAATTACACTACGATTGTACTGTAATTACATCTGTCAAATTTTTGCGGAAAAATTTGTCGACAAATATATAGATTATCTTTTTTTTTCTAGTTCGCACTGCTCTTTCTCTCTAAATTGCATCAAAGAAAATAGAGAGAGAGCAGATGGATCCTATCCCCTATAACGAACACTCATTTCTATCTATTGATAGAAAAGGAGCAAAATCGAATTTTGAATCGTGAGGTAAGTATCCCGTGACTATTACAAGTGGGCTCGATTGGCTTGGAGTCCGTTGACTGAAACAATTATCCGTCTGAAGAAAAAGTAATCTTGCAACAAGCTGGCCGAGGCATGCAACTTGCAAAAGTTGCACTAACCCTAGTACTTGTAAGTTGGAAGAAGAGAATAGTAAAAATTCATTTTTGGGAAATCGAGGGCCGGAGATGGCTGCCAGTTCAATTACGAGCATGAGTATAAAAATTGTCTTCTCGGTCCTATCAATGAGAAGTTGAGAACCAACGACTAAACAACGATCATAAAAAAAAGCTAACCACTCCCGCGCGCGCGAAGAATACATGATGTTGGTGTACATAAATTAGTGCACGTTGCATAAGCCAACGAAGGAAGCAGTCACCGCTGTGCATCGGGCACACGTCGGCATCATTTCAAGGCCCCCCCGTAGCTTCCATCACTTTGACCATCTCGCCTCGAAGGAGGAGTAGGAGGAAGAGAGAAGCCGGCACAAGCGAGCCCAGCAAACGCACGGCACCACGGATCATTGGGATCAAAACACGAGAGCTTAATTGAGAAGCAGAGAAGGAGATCAAGAAAAGCAGAGCAAAGCCGCCGGCGAAGAGGGAGGAGGTGGCCGGTGGGATGGACGTGAAGCGGGCCCGGAGCCCGCGGGCTCCGGGCGTCGACGCCGACGACGACAAGAAGCGGGCCGCCGAGTGGCGCGGCGCCGTCCGGCCGCACATGGTGCTGGTCGGCTTCCTCATCACCCTGCCCGTCCTGGTCTTCGTCTTCGGCGGCCGCTGGGGCTCCTTCCAAACCACCTCCGCCCCCAACGTCGGCGGCCGCCACGTCGTCCCCGGCGGCGTAACAACGACACAAAGTAAGTCCCCCTTTTTTCTCTCTCGTCTCGCTGTTTGCGCTTGTGAATTCTGAAAGATCGCGTCCATCGTAAGGCAACGAAGCTTACTCGTTGACCGCTAGTGTGCAAGCAAGGGAATTTTGGTCCCCCGGCGCTCTGATGAGATCGGCCTATGAACAAGCAGCTGTTGTCGTAAGCAATTTTGTAGGTACTCACCATTTCTGCAGCATATGAGGTAGCAGGGTGAAAATTGGCATTTCGTCGGCCGGTGATCGCTGATACGTCATACGAGGATAACATCATGTTACTACACTGGCATTACGACCATAGCCGCAAGCACACACGCATGTTAGTTCGATCACTGAAAAATAATTGGAAAAGAAAAACTAGATATAGATCTTGCATTCTCGCTTGATTTGGGTGGGACAAGGTTGCATGCTAGCATTCAGATCGCTGATCCAATGCATGAGTAAACTTTTGGGATGCATGCACAGTCCAGAATCAGATCCTATTGTGCATTGTGCTTGATGAACAGTCAGTTCTAGTTCGGTGATGTGGCGAGCCCGTGATGACGGTGTCGTCTTGATGCCATCACCACTTGTGCATCCTTTTGCGGATCTTGTCCTACCTTATCATTGTTTCTTCCAAAGGAGGTACTCCTAGCTTCTGTTTGTGTCGGTGGCTTTTACTGCATGCCCTGCCCCTGCAGAATGGCATTCCAAAAGGTCATAGCTTTCTTTCTTTATTTTATTTGTTTTAACGAAGGTCCTCTTGGCTTTTTACTCGAGTGGTCCCTGGATTTACTGGAGTAGCAGACAAACTTAAGCATCTTGGGAGGCCTCATGCCCTCGTGAAAGTAGGTGGTCCGAGATGGATAATTTCTGCCGTGCATGTTGCCAGCAATAATGCTGGTAACAACGCTGTTGAGAGTGATGACAAATCTACAACAAAGTAAACTTTTGTTCCTATATGGGGGCTGTTCTGAGAGGAAAAAAAAGTACAGCACGATGTTTATTTTGACAAAATGGTACTTTGCATTGTCGCATGGTCTGATTATTACAGTGTGACACTCTGCATTGTCTTGTGCAAATGCCTGAAGAAACTTTTCTGTTAACTTTTCTGCAGAAAATGAAGCCCCGAAAAACGTCTCTGTACCAGCCACTGCAACCAAATCTCTGCCCCAACCCCAGGACAAGCTTCTCGGAGGACTACTCTCTGCCGCATTCGAAGAATCCTCATGTCAGAGCAGATACAAATCATCTCTCTACCGGAAGAAGTCTCCGTTCCCTCTGTCCCCTTACCTGGTTCAGAAGCTGCGGAAGTACGAGGCCTACCACAAGAAGTGCGGCCCTGGCACGAAGCGCTACCGGAAGGCGATCGAGCAGCTCAAGGCGGGGCGCAACGCCGACAACGCCGAGTGCAAGTACGTGGTGTGGTTCCCCTGCAACGGCCTCGGCAACCGCATGCTCACCATCGCCTCCACCTTCCTGTACGCGCTCATCTCCAACCGCGTCCTCCTCATGCACGTCGCGGCGGAGCAGGAGGGCCTCTTCTGCGAGCCGTTCCCGGGGAGCTCGTGGGTGCTCCCGGGCGACTTCCCCCACAACAACCCGCAGGGCCTGCACATCGGCGCGCCGGAGAGCTACGTCAACATGCTCAAGAACAACGTCGTCCGCAACGACGACCCCGGCAGCGTGTCGGCGTCGTCGCTGCCGCCGTACGTGTACCTCCACGTCGAGCAGTTCCGGCTGAAGCTGTCCGACAACATCTTCTGCGACGAGGACCAGTTGATTCTCAACAAGTTCAACTGGATGATACTCAAATCTGACAGCTACTTCGCGCCGGCGCTGTTCATGACGCCGATGTACGAGAAGGAGCTGGAAAAGATGTTCCCGCAGAAGGAGTCAGTGTTCCATCATCTTGGGAGGTACCTGTTCCATCCGACGAACAAAGTATGGGGAATCGTGAGCAGGTACTACGAAGCGTACCTTGCCAGAGTCGACGAGAAAATCGGGTTCCAGATACGGATCTTCCCGGAGAAGCCGATAAAATTCGAGAACATGTATGATCAGCTGACGAGGTGCATCAGGGAGCAGCGGTTGTTGCCGGAGCTCGGCACGGCGGAGCCGGCGAACACGACTGCCGAAGCAGGGAAGGTGAAGGCCGTACTGATCGCTTCTCTGTACTCGGGATATTACGAGAAGATCCGTGGGATGTACTACGAGAATCCAACCAAGACTGGCGAGATCGTCGCGGTGTACCAGCCGAGCCACGAGGAGCAGCAGCAGTACACGTCCAACGAGCACAACCAGAAGGCGCTGGCCGAGATCTATCTGCTCAGCTACTGCGACAAGATCGCCATGAGCGCCTGGTCGACGTTCGGGTACGTGGCCTACAGCTTCGCCGGCGTCAAGCCGTGGATCCTGCTCCGGCCGGACTGGGACAAGGAGAGGTCGGAGGTGGCGTGCGTCAGGTCGACGTCGGTGGAGCCGTGCCTCCACTCGCCGCCGATCCTCTCGTGCAGGGCCAAGAAGGAGGTCGACGCGGCCACCGTCAAGCCGTACGTTCGGCACTGCGAGGATGTCGGGTTCGGTCTCAAGTTGTTCGATAGCTAATTTTTTGGAGAAGTGACTTCTTCGGTTTCACGTTCCGAATTGCGTTCGTTACGTCACGTCCTGTGGATTAACTAGGCCTTTTGGAGATTCGTTATATTCGTTTGGACTCGTATACACCTGAAAATGCACAAAATGTATTATGTAAAATGTATTATGTATCTGTATTCAAATTCGTTCTTCATAAAACAATTCGGATATATATATACACACACGCAAACAGATTCCCTCTCCAGTTTCCTTTTCAGTTCGATTAAATTGACATCTCTACCTACCACACAGATTGCTACTCCAGTTGCCTACTCCCTCTGTCCCATAATATAAGAGATTTTGAGTTTTTACTTGTACTGTTTGACCACTCGTTTTATTAAAAAAAAATAGAACTATTATTTATTTTTTTAACTTACTTTATTATCTAAAGTATTTTAAGCACAGCTTTTTATTTTTTATATTTGCACAAATTTTTTTAATAAAGTGAGTGGTCAAACAATGAAAATAAAAACTCAAAATCCCTTATATTATGAGACGGAGGAAGTACATCACAATGATTCTTTTTTTTTTGAATGGCACCGGGGGGAAAACTCCCCACCTGAATTAAAATTAAGGAAACATCAAAACTTTACAAACCATACAAGAAGAAAAGAGGAAGCAAAACAGCACGAAAGAAAAGAAGAAAGAAAGAAAGAGAGAAAACAAACAAGAGAGATTACAGAAGGTGGAGAGGAGAGGAGAAGGATGCAAGCCAAGACGGAAGAACTGCCCGGTCAGCCAGCTTGAAACGGTTTGCCCAAAGCTTGGCGTCGTTGACGCAACAGCAGAGAAGACGGTTGATGGATGGTGCAAGGTGTTGGAAAACAACTTCGTTACGGTGGTTCCATAAGCGCCAGCAGCACAAGAGGAAGAAGGTGCTGTTTAGTCGTTCCGGAAGGTCTCCAGACCAGTGGATGGTGTGAATCTCACTCAGGGAGGTTAGCATGGGTAGCACCTGAATCAGGCCCCAAAAAGCATATGCCAGGGGGTAGGCAAGGAAGATGTGGTCAGTGTCTTCCAGGCAGGTATTGCATAGTTGACATGTTGGGGAGGGGATGATTGACTTCTTGTGCAGGTTGACAGCAGTAGGTAGTCTGTTCATAGTCATTAACTGTCACGCCCCGAACTAGTCCCGACCGGAACTAGCCCGTGACGCTCCAAATTAATCTGTTAATCGATACCAGTCCCAGGAAACAGTGCTGGTATCACAGGGAGACAGAATATCACAGCAACAGAGGTCTCTTTATTATAGAGTAGATGTACAGTCATGTTGGGCTGCGGACAGATCCCGAGCTCACAACTGCATTACAAAAGGAAAGCGGAACCCAGGACTTGGATCAATCAACACAGGCGCGACTTGGGAACTAGGCCGAAACTCTAAAACTCATCGTAGCCGGCTTGCTCCTGGAAGAACTCCTCGTCAGCAGGATCCGCTTCATCTTCTTCAGCAACTGGGGGGGATTATTTATATAGAGCAAGGGTGAGTACGGGAGTACTCAGCAAGCCATGGGAAGTAAGTGTTTAATGCAGGCTTCAAGGAAAGGCTGGTGTTTTTGCAATTAATTTTATTTGAACTCTTTTCTGAAACAACTAAGTGAGTGCTTCTCAAACGACACGGATGAGACAGTGCGTCTCGTCCGGTCGGAGTATGTGCAATGTATCAGTCTTTAGAATTTAAACAAGGTTGGCACCCGGCCAACAGCTTTTTCAACGGCCACCCGGGCCAACAACTTTTCAAACGGCCACCCGGGCCAACAACTTTTCAAACGGCCATCCGGGCCTAGCTGATCCCATCAGCTGCAGATTTTTCAAACACCGAACCCCCTTTTCACACAGCAATTTCACAAGCAGTAGTCAAACCAAACTACGCTAGGAATCACCTCACATCCGCCCATGACCGTGGGCACGGCTGTTCGAACAGTTTGTTAACCTCTGCAGAGGGGGTACACTTTATCCACACGACATTACTAACCCGGATCACCCAGCCTGTGGGGATCAGCCACGTCGGGAGACCTCCAAGCTTTCATGACAAGGCATTTCCAAAGCCGACACAGGTTTACCATATGCCGACGAGAGGGGTCCCAGACCAACAACAGGTTAGGTCCCAGACCATACTGTGCCAGGAAGCCCAGGGGTCCTCTCCGACACCACCCCGGCGAATCCACATGTCTCTCGGCATCAAGGCTCCCCTGATAAGCTAGTTACTCAGCCAGGGGTGTCCCATTCCACCCATGTGGTCGTACTTGACTTATGTTTGGATGAAATTCCAAGGAATCGGTCCATAAGTGCGATAGCGGGAAACCGTACACCCGGTACATTTCTCGGTCCGCGGTTTTGGAAATTCATTTAGTTCGCAAGCACCGACCCAGGTGTCGGGTTTTCCAAGTCTTTTGTAAAACTCCAGTTTTACCCAAGTTGTTACTCAGATTTTAAGTTTGAAGGCGACCGTCGATACTGGCACAGGGTGCACGAATATCGAGGCGCAACTGGATGGTTACAAGGGGACATGGTATAGCAATTAACAATGGAAGGATCAAATGCAACAAGTTAGGTAGGTCTGCCAATCTGCCTTGCAGACGGAACAACAGATTAAGTGCAATCCTATCAATGCATAATATTTTGCAAGCAATATAATTAGATTTCAAATATAGGCTCAAGATGTTCAAAGGTGGCTTGCCTTGCTCGAGATCTGGAGCTTGACCCTCGAAATCCTCGCACTGCGGGTCTTCGGGCTCCGAAACTATATGCAAAACGGGACAACTCAACAAACGGCGAAAATAAAGCCCTATTAATGACCTCTAAGCGTGCCATTAGATAGATCTCGAGATTTGAGAAATTTTGGAATTTGAACGGAGTCAAACGGATTTACGGTTGGGAAGATATTGAATTTCTAAGATTATTGGATTTTTGGTCTAAAGGAAAAGGATTTAATTAAATCCTTTTTCGAAAAGAAAATAAAAGAAAAAGGGAGAGGGAGGGAATATAGACTTCCCTCGGGCGGCTAGGGCGCGGCCCGAGAGAAAGGGCGGCTCGGCCGAGCTTAACGGGCCGGCCGGCCCAAGAAGGTGGCCCAAGGCGGCCCAAGACGCGCGCGCGGGAGGGAGGAGAGAGAGAGCTGGTGGACCGGGCTCACCATGCGCGGTCCCGGGTGGGACCCGCTTGTCAGCGGCTCGGCTCACCGTGCGGAGGGAGTACGCGGCTCATGCGCGCGGGCGGGGGAGGGACGCGGTGCACGCGCGCGGTTCGCGGTGGACGCGGATGCGGCGGGCCCACGCGCAGCCTCACGGCTCGCGGTGGAACGCGCGCACGGGGAGGGACTGACCGGGGTCGGCTCGACCCGGTCTAGGCTGAGCTGGCGCCGACGTGGCGCCTACGTGGCTGCCACGCGGGCCAGCGGGAGGTAGACGACGACCCGGCCGCGAATGGACGGCGGGCGGCGGCGGCGAGCGGCGGAGCGAACCACGACGATACGGGCAAAAGCTAGCACACCGGGCGGTTGTTCGTGATGAGGGGAGACGAGCCAACGGCTCGGATTCGCCAGAGGGAGTTCGACGGCGGCGAATCGCGGCGGCGACAACCGGCGGGGAGTGAAGAGGGAAACGCCGACGAGGTCACGAGGGACCGATTCCCGGCGGTGAGAGCATTCACGCGACCACGGGAATCCGATGCTAGCGTCGGATTGGACGGAGCTACGCCGAGCGAGGCTGGCGACGTGCGGGTGCTATGGAGCTCGAGCGGCGACGGCGGCGAGCACGCGGCGAGCGACGGCAACGGTCGGGGCGGCGCCGGCTAGCTACAGGGAGTCTACTCGAGCTACTACCGAAAGCTAGGGGGAGGAGATGGGGCGAGGAGGAAGAACGGAGGGAGGCATCACCGAGATGAGGAGGGGCGCTGTGACGAGAGGCCGACGGCGCGGGAGTAATCTCTCCGGCCTCGGGCCGGGGAAGAGGAAGGAGAGGGCGCGGCCGAAGTCCCCTTCCGCGTCCTTGCTCGTGCCGACTCCTTCGACACGCGCAACAACGAACGGCGACGGCGAACAGAGCACGGGGGCGGCAGCTATGGCGAGGAGGCGAAAACGAGGGAGATTGGAGGGGAAGGAGCTGGGGTTTAAAGGGGGCGGCAATGTCGGTTTGGGAACCGACTTAGGGCGGTCAAGGCGCGAGCTGGCGCTCGGCGGTCGCGGCCAAAGCGGCGACAGGGAGGATGACGCCAGCGGGGGAAAAGGGGGAAAAAGGAGGGGGAGAAAGGGGCTTGCCCTTTTGCCGATTCGGGAAAAAGGAGGAGGGGAGCGGGGGCGACGCGGCAGAGGGAGGAGGGGCGCTGCCTCCGTCCCTTGGCGGCTTGCGCGCGGAGTGGCGGGGGCCGGGCGGTGACGACGGCGATGACGGCGGGCGGTTTGGAGCGGCGTGACGACACGGGCGACAGACGCGTGCAGAGGCTGACGGCGGCGGCGACCGGGCGGTCGGCCACTCGGCACGCGCGCGCGGCTTGCAACGGGCGGCGTCCGCGCGGGCGCGCGCACGCGAACACGGCGTGCGGGAAGCGGCAGCGAGGGAGCGGAGAGGGAGGACTTGGCTCGGCGCGGGCGGCTTACGCAGGCGCGGCAGAGCGAGGAGAAGGGAAGGGGGCGCTCGGCGCGGCGGCTCACGCGCACGCGCGTGGGCGGAGCGGAGGAGGAGCACTCGGCGCGGCTCTCGCGCACGCGCGCGCGGCGCGCGGGCGAGGCGGAGTGGAGCTGAGCGGGGGGGGGGGGGGGGGGAAAGCGGAGCGCGCCGGGGAGGGGAGAGGACGAGAGAGAGAGAGAGAGAGGGAGCGCCCGGGAGAGGGAGAGAGGGAGATGGGCCGAGCGAGATTCGGCCCATCGACCCGGGGGAGGCAAAATAGACTTTTGCGGAGGAATTTGATTTGGAAGGATTTGGATTCGGATTTGAACTCGACGATAGATCGGGGATTGAGATCTTGAGATGGCACGGACACTAGACAACAAGCAAAGAAACAAATTTCGCAATTAGGGTTTTTAAGAGATAATTTTTCCCGCTAGGCGTCACGACGGAACGGGCGCTACATTAACCAACCAAAAAATTTAACCCTCGGAGGGGCCGAGCTCTTCCAGATGAATTCCCAGGGGTGGCCAAAGTTGCTGACTTTCCATGGTTTTGCAATAGAGGGCTGAAGTTGATATCAGGCCATTGCGGCAGCTGATTGAACTTTGTATTGTGTCTTTGGTCTTGTGAGAGTGGGAAGTCTTGAAGTAGGTCTTGCAGCAGATGTAATTGTTGTTGAGCCACTGTTGACAGTCTTGGGACAAGGGGTAAATTAAGCCCAGCGTGGAGCGCTGAACGAACCGTGAGATGAGTAGTTGTGTTGTGAGAGAAGAGGGCTGGGAACTCAATCGAGAGAGGTTTATCAGTCAGCCAGACATTAAGCCAGAAGTTTGTTCGACAACCATTACCGATTTTCATAGTGGAATGAGCTCGAAGGACCGGCAGAAGAGTGATTAGAGTGTGCCAGTGTTGTCCCAGATCGGCTGAGCCGAGAGCAGAGTTTTGGTGCTCACTCCAAATCCATTTTGTCCATGGGGAATTTTGAGAAAAAAGCCGGTAGATCATTTTAGTGAGCAGGCAGATGTTTTGCGAATGCAGATTTTTAATTTCCAGGCCTCCAAGGCTTTTACTTTTGCAGACGAGGTCCCATGCTACCAGACATTTGGAGCCATGACAAGAATCCTCCCCAGACCACAGGAACGCACGACGACGTTTGTCTATAGCTTCAATGGTTCCTTTTGGGAGCAGGAGTTCAGCCATTGCATAGGTTGGGAGAGAGTCCAGGACAGAGTTTACCAGAACAACACGGCCTGCATAGTTGAGTAAGGAGGCTTGCCAGCCTGCCAGATACTTGTCAACTTTCGAAATCATGAGGTGAAAAGCACTTGAAGGGAGTTGAGTTGCAGAGAGCGGTAGGCCGAGGTATGTTTGGGGGAACCCATCAAGTTTGCATTGGAGAATCGTGTAGTGATACACAATTTGCACGCACTGACCAATCGATTAATTTAGAGAGACACTTACCGTGGGCGTTGATGCTTCGATGATGCGTTTTTGTTCCATCAGCGACCTACCCCGGCCGTTTGCACGCGCAAATCAAACCATCAATAAAACCCAACGGAAACGCCAAGACGCAAAATGTCCCTGAATTCCATACTAGGAGTGCCTTTCATGGGTGCGACTTTCGAATGGCAGATTGACAGCGTGTACGTCCACGTGCACCAGGTAGGTAGACACACGCCGGCCCTCGTATATATACGTGCGTTCATGTCGCGCTCACATGCCCCGCGTCGCGCCGGGAGCGGAGGCGACGAGAGAAACACGCAGTCGTAGAAGCAACCGGCACCAGTTGCCCATGCCCAAGGTGGAAGCCGTCCACCTCGCTCACGGTGTTGGACAAACTGCTGGTGCCTTTGCTGCTGCATGTTGCAATCATCCTGAGCCGTTGACTGCCAGTACGTAGCTTCCAACAGTTAGCTAGAGATTTCGTAAGCGTCTGGAAGATGTGTAAACAAAAGGGATGATAAGGAATTAGTAATGTGATATGATTTTCATCGACGTGCAATAATTATTATGCACGCGACTGCAATCATTACGTGGTGGTATATACGCGCAGGTCAGAGGCGCTGGGGGTTCCTGGGAGAAGGCAGAGTCCGAAGCGTGCGTTCACGAGAGCGCGCGTCGGCGCGGGGTACCGATGGACGAGAAGAGGGCGGCGCGGACGCCGCGAGCTGGAGCGCGGAACGCGGTGAACGGCGGCGAGTCGGGATGTTGCAGCGAGAAGGCTGCGCGGTGGGGATGGCGCGCGCCGGTGGAGGTGGCCGTGGTCGGGTTCGTCGCCACCTTGACGTTGCTCGTTCTACTGTACGGCGGCACGGGAAGCTTGCTGTCGTTCACCTCGCCGAGGACGGAGTTTGTGCAGAAGCTTGCAGGTAACCGTTATTCCACCAACCATGTGTGCAATTGCAATTGCATTCTTGAACTCTCTATTGGTAAATGCATTTACGCAGTTCGTGATTAAAAATGTAAGGAAAAAGCACGAATTACCTCCTGAACTATCGCGGACGTCCGAATTACCCCCCTAAACCCGAAAATCAGACATCATTCACCCTTAACTTTTAATACCGGATAAATTACCTCCTCGACCTAATCCAGAGCGGTTTTGCCTACGTGGCGTACGTGTGGTAATCCAGTCAGCATTTTCTTATTTAAAAAAATAGTGGGGTCCACATGTCATCTTCCCTCCTCTTCTCCTCTCTCTCTCTCATCAACAAGCTGACAAGCGTGGACGACGGGGATGGGCGGCAGCTGGAGGAGGCGTGGCACGCGGAGGAGGCGGCGCTGGCGATGGCCGAGATGGAGAAGACAAGTGCCGCCCGGCCATGGAGGCGGCCGAGGCGGGCAGCATGGCATGGCGCACGGCGGTGCGGGGAAGGCAGCGGTCGGCGCGCACGACGGTGCGGCCGACGGTGGCGGGGGCGATCGGCGCGGAACGGCGCGGACAGGCAGGAGGCGGCGGAGAGGCGGGGACGATGGGGATGGGTGGCGGACTCGTCAGCACCTTCAGCAGGATGTTGCGGTCGAACAGGATGTTGGCCGGCTTGAGGTTGCGGTGCACGAGCGACTCCGGCTTGGTCTGGTGGAGGAACAGCAGCGCCGTGGTTATCTCCGCCGAGATCCTGAACCGCTGGCTCCACGGGATCGACGGGCGACGGCGTGCCGCAATCTTTTTTCTTTTTATTTTTGTCTCTGCCCGCTTCTGAATTTTCTGATCTGATTTGGTGCCGCGTTTTGGACTTTGGGAATGTGGTTATGTGCTGCATATGTAGTATATTGGTTTCTCTTTGGAATGTTGGGTAAAGGATTTTGTCGAGAGCTAACTTGCACACTTGTATATATGCATGGCCTTAATTTGCAGTCGATGGCTTGCATCATCAGTGATTTTGCAGCCGTCCACCGAGGCGCGGCGGTACCAGCAGCCGCCGCCGGCGTAGCTAGACACGTACGTGGTGCAGATGCCCAAGGACAAGGTGTTCCGCGTCCCGCCGCCGGAGAACGCGCGCCTCTTCCAGCACTACACCCGCCGCGCCAGGCGCCACGCCCGCTGCTCCTGCGTCCGCGTCTGCTCCTGGCTCCTCCTCATGCTCGTCTTGCTCGTCGTCGCGCTCACGGCCTTCGCCTCCGTCGTCTACCTCGTGTTCAAGCCCAGGCAGTCGGACTACACGCTCCAGGGCGCGAACCTTCTCGTCGGCCTCTCGGCATTGCGCCGCCGCTGCGCCTCCAGGTCGGCCAGCTGCTGCGCCGCCTCTCCGCCGCCGCCCGCCAGTCCGCGCCGTTCCGCGCCGACCGCCCCCGCCCACCGTCGGCCGCACCGCCGTGCACGCCGACCGCGCCGTCCACTGCCTTCCCCGCACCGTTGTGCGCCATGCCATGCTGCGCCGCCTCGGCCGCCTCCATGGCCGGGCGGCACTTGTCTTCTCCATCTCGGCCATCGCCAGCGCGCCTGCTCCGCGTGCTGCGCCTCCTCCAGCCGCCGCCCATCCCCATCGTCCCCGCTTGTCAGCTTGTGGATGAGAGAGAGAATGGAGAAGAGGAAGAGGGAAGATGACAGGTGGACCCCCACCATTTTTTTAATAAGAAAATGCCGACTGGATTGGCACGCGTACGCCACGTAGGACAAAACCGCTCTGAATTGGGTAAGGGGGTAATTTACCTGGTATTGAAAGTTGAGGGTGAACGATGTCTGGTTTTTAGGTCTAGGGGGTAATTCAGACGACCGCGATAGTTTAGAGGGGTAATTCGTACTTTTTCTAACTCAAACATACTTTCGTTATTCGGACGCCACCATATGTGCCAGGTTGTTACCTCCCATCGAGCTTATCGGCTGCAGTCAAAATTTTAAATTTTAAATTAAGTTGATTTTGTGTTTTTCAATGTAGTCTATTTTTCAAATTAGTTTCTAAAGTGCTAAGGACTTGTTTAGATTCCAACTTTTTTCTTTAAATTTTTAACTTTTCCATCACATCGAACTTTCCTACACACACAAACTTTCAATTTTTTCGTCACATCGTTTCAATTTTTTTAAACTTCTAATTTTGGCGTGGAACTAAACACAGCCTAATAACACAAATGTAAAAATTTTATCCGTAATTATTTTTTTCCTTTATATTTTCACCACTTGTCAACAAGCTTAAACGAACAGAGTAACATGTTTAGAAGATATACAATCAATTTGTATATCGTAATCTCGTAATGGACATGATCAAAACGAGGAGACAAGGCAATGTCACATCCAACGAAAGCTAGTTTGTGCATAAGTATCACGGAAGCTGTTTTCTCTCTTGCGGTATATTATTACACACTCACACGCTATGCACGTTAAGCCGGTGGTTCAAGGGTTAGCATCAGCATAATATAAAACAATTATCACCGTCTAAATCTACTTTTACCACTTGAAAGTCATGAAGAGCAGTAAAGGTATGACAGATCTAAACTTTATTTTCAAGTTAACCTCGACCCCCCACCCATAAATTGAGCATGACATTTTGATCGCTCCGTGGGCTGTTTTCACTTCTCTTGGGCTGCTGAGGCCTATATGGTTAAGCCGTAAAACAATGTTAAATGGGCCAACCATCCAGTATTCTGGTATGAATGCCAGGATTTCAGTCCAGTCTTGTTCGGTTAATACCTAGGAGAAAAGAATTGGAGGGTATTAATTCCACAGCTAAAACTATTTCCCTTCCATAAAAAAGGTTATTTCCCTCGATTCCCCTTTATAATTCTCTTGTGTAAGAAATTAACCAAATTCCTAAACATGTTGGCACGACTTAGGATTAATCATATATGAGCCGTATCCCGTACTTCGTATTTGGTTGTACACTAGTAGTACCACGTATCAATGCTCTCTCGATTTTTGGTGCATAATTCAGTTCAACTGCACCGTGCAGCTGCCGCAGCATCACCTTCCCACGGAGCACCGGAAGACACGCCCGAGACGTCGACTCGGCACGACGACGACCGTCTCCTCGGCGGACTGCTCTCTCCGGCCTTCGACGAGCATTCCTGCCGTTCCCGGTACACGTCGTCCCTCTACCGCCGCCGTTCACCGTTCCGCCCGTCCACCTACCTCGTCGAGCGACTCCGGCGGTACGAGGCCCGGCACAAGCGGTGCGGCCCCGGCTCCGCCCTTTTCCAGGAAGCCGTCGAGCACCTGCGCTCCGGCCGCAACGCCGCGCGCTCCGAGTGCCAGTACGTGGTGTGGACGCCGTTCAACGGGCTCGGCAACCGCATGCTCGCGCTCGCGTCAACCTTCCTCTACGCGCTCCTCACCGACCGCGTCCTGCTAGTGCACGCGCCGCCGGAGTTCGACGGCCTCTTCTGCGAGCCCTTCCCCGGAAGCTCATGGACATTGCCCGCCGACTTCCTGATCACCGACTTCGACGGCGTCTTCACCATGTGGTCGCCGACGAGCTACAAGAACATGAGGCAGGCCGGCACGATAAGCAACGCTACCGCGGAGCAGAGCCTGCCAGCCTACGTGTTCCTTGATCTCATCCAGTCGTTCACCGATGCCGCCTTCTGCGACGACGACCAGCAGGTCCTAGCCAAGTTCAACTGGATGGTGATAAAGTCCGACGTCTACTTCGCCGCCATGTTATTCCTCATGCCGGCCTATGAGCGCGAGCTGACGCAGCTGTTCCCGGAGAAGGAGGCCGTGTTCCACCACCTGGCGCGGTATCTCTTCCATCCGTCGAACGACGTGTGGGGCATCGTGCACAGGTTCTACGAGGCCTATCTCGCCAGGGCCGACGAGCTTGTCGGCCTCCAGGTGCGCGTGTTCCCGGAGATGCCCATACCGTTCGACAACATGTACGAGCAGATCATCCGGTGCTCGGAGCAGGAGGGGTTGCTGCCCAAGCTAGGACAGACGGTCGTCGTCACCGCGGCGAACGGCTCGTCGGTGGTGGCGCCGAGCACGAAGCTGACTTCCATACTGGTGACGTCGCTGTTCCCGGACTACTACGACCGCATCCGCGGCGTGTACCACGCGAGGCCGACGGAGACAGGGGAGTACGTAGCGGTGCACCAGCCGAGCCACGAGCGGGAGCAGCGCACGGAGGCGCGCGGCCACAACCAGCGCGCGCTGGCCGAGATATACCTGCTGAGCTTCTGCGACCGCGTCGTGACGAGCGCCGTGTCGACGTTCGGGTACATCGCGCACGGGCTAGCCGGGGTGCGGCCGTGGGTGTTGCTGCGGCCGCCGTCCCCGGTGGCGCGCGCCGAGCCGGCGTGCGTCCGGTCGGAGACCGTCGAGCCGTGCCTGCAGGCGCTGCCTCGACGGATGTGCGGCGCGGCGGAAGGCAGTGACATTGGGGCTCTGGTGCCTCATATCCGGCATTGCGAGGATGTACAAAAAGGTATCAAACTGTTTAGCTAGCGCTTTAATCTGTCTGCGTAATTTGTTCGTATGGTGTAGAATTCACAGTGAAACATAAGTGCTGAGTTCTGATCCGCTTTGCGTGGCCACTAACTCGGCCGCTACAGACATGTTCCGTGCATGCATAATTCCGCTAATCCTCCTGTTCAACGTACACCACTAGGTGTGCACGCATGCAGTTCCTTGACCAATTCTCACATCAACCACGAGCATGCATCGCACACATGCATAACCATGACACGACATGATTATTTCGAGCAGAGGCTGGCCACCAGCGGGCCGAGCCGCGGAGAACGAGGCGAGGCGGTGGGGAAGGCTCCGGCGAGCCTCCGCGCGCGCCGCGCTGGTGCTCTGCTCGCTGACGATGATTCCAGTCGTCGTCGTCCTCCACCGGTGTGCGGTCTCCTCCTCCTGGCCGGATCGGGTTTTCGAAGCCAAGCACATCGCGGGAGCCGGCGAGCAAGGTACGTACACTCACAAAAGTCCCCCAGCTACTCGATCGCTGGGTCGCACCACCTGTCCTATACGCCCCTCTGAACAAATTCGCTCTAGCTGTTCGCACGCATCCGTGGTCTTGCTTGATTCGGTCGCCGTTTATTATGCTCGGTATAACTGATTCTGTCGGCGATGAATCGGCGCGTCGTATCTGCCCGCGCAACAGCGATGGCTTTTGTGATTTCGAAGAGGTGGAGAGATGCTGGGTTAAGCACGAGCTGTAACAGGCTAACAGCTTGGAAAGCAGAAGGGGATCGAAGGCGGCATGAACCTTCCTTGGAGCGATCGTGAAAAGCAGATTCCATTGCCCCTCTCCTGCTTGTATTGGTTGCGCTAGCTTTGTCCAATCTGAAGTGGAGTTGGTCACATTTAACGGATTCGCGAAACCATACACGAGCCAGAGAAAATAATTTCCACTTGAGAAATTTCAGATGTCGATATGTCATCGTACTACGAGGTAGCGTCATATAGGCGTGGTTAATTAACCATCGACCCATCATATTGGGTTGGGTTTTTTTTTTTTAACGACTCGCACGAGACGGTGCGAAGTTATATTGATAGAGTAGAAAAAAATTACAAGGTTACACCCTAGAGGGTCGTAACCAGAAAAAAGGAAAAAAAAATAAACCACCACCCACACGGCGACAATGCCATCACACAAGCCCAGGAGAAGGCTAACACCGGACCGGCCGCCGCTAAGCGTGACCGACCGCCAGTAGGCCAACAAAGGGACACAGACGAGGTTGCCACCTAGGGGATGCCAAAACGACGTCTTCAAGAAGAGAAGCGACGGAGAAACCGCCGCCATCGTCCGTCAGGACTCAAAAGAGCCAAGAGAGGGCTTTCGCCCGGCAATCACCCTTGAGGGGTGAGACAGCACGACAACACCCTCATGAGGGGGGATAACCATTGTTTGTCGGTCCGACCATGGCTGGACTGGGTTTTCATCCGCCGCTCACCACTTGCGAATCCACGCCTGACGCAGCGATGCTCCACCACCACACAAGCTTTGCCGACATGTGGGACCCCTGCACCGGCGTCCCCCGTCGGCCAGTCTTCGTGCGCCGAAGACCGCGCCACACCCACTGGCAGCTCCTCCTCACACCTAGGTCACCTCCTCCACCACCGGACGCGCCACTCTGCGCCAAACCGGCCTCCTCCACCAGACGCGCCTCGCGCCAATCCGGTCTCCCTCCATCGGCCGCGCCTCCTGCGCCAAGCCGGCCTCCATCTCCGCCGCCCGCGCCTCTCGCACCGAGCCGGCCTCCGCTGTCATCGGCTGCGCTTCTCTGCGCCAAGCCGGTCTCCGACCCCTCCACCAAACGATGCCGCGCCGGCTAGATGTAGTCGCCTCCCACGCCCTCAGCTAGCCGTTTGAGGCCGCCATGCCTTCAGTGACCGCAGACACAGTCACCACCACCGCAGCCGCTACTACCTAACGCCCAGCCACCTCGCCGTCGCCAGTCGCCATCCTCGCCTCGCAGCCGACTCCTTCCCCGCCGCCGACGTCGCCACCGCCTGCACAAACGGCCGCCGTCGCCGCTACCATCGACGCCAGCCCTCGTATCTGCAACCTGCCGCTGTGCCATCGCCCTTCACCAGCATGCGGCTGGCCGCCGCCCGATGCCATGTGCGCCACTGCCGCCATCACCAGCCAACACCGCAGCCGCCAACTGCCGCGACCGCCGCTGCCGTCGCCAACTGCCGCCGCTGCCGTCGCCCACCGCCGCCGCTGCCGTCGCCGCACCGCCGCCGTCGTCGCCGCACAGCCGCCGTCATCGTTGCACAGCCGCCACCAACTGCCGCCGGCCACCCTCCAGATCCGGCCGAGAGGCGCGGATCTGGGGGACACCGTCACCGCCGTCGTTACCACAAGCCCACACGGGACCACCACCACCACCTTCGCGCCCGCGGCCGGTTCCGTCCCCGCCACCATCGCCATCCCCGCCGCCTTCAGCCGCCGCCGCCCGGCGCCACGCGCCCCTGCCTTCGCCGTCGCCATCCCCGCCGCCGTGGCCGGGTCGTCGTCTCCCGTGCCGCCCCAGGGGAGGACGACGCGAGAGGTGTATACATTACTCTATGCATCTAACTATGGAGACGTCAAAAGTCATATTGGGTTGGGTTGTTGACACTTGACAATTCCCGCGAATGATCCTCCGTGTTGTCCGGCCGCCCGCTCTGCATTTTCCTGTACGGCTGGGCAGTGGGCCATATGGGGGTAGAATGACGCGCATATGGATGCCAGTCTGCCAGATCAAAAAAAAAAACAAATTTCTTTCATCCTCTTCTTTCGCTTTTTTCAATTGAGATCCCTACTGCACATACAACCTGCATCCAATTTCTTTACCTTTTCTTGGCAGATGACAAGGAACTACAGTACTCCTGTACAACCCAAAAATGACTCTTCGTTTCCTTCAATTATGTTGTAACCCCTGTTTTCAACTCTAATTATGATTTCACTAATATTTCTCCTGCTTTTTTTTCTAACTCTGTCCTTATTTTTCTGAAATGAAGCTTGTATTTATCCCCATTACGTTAAGGTGATATAATAGGATAAACTTCATGTATAAACCATTTTACTCGTTTCAACATGATCTTTTTACTTATTCAATTAAAAAAAAGTGAGGCATAAACTTAACATAAATCTGTCCACTGTTTTGACATCAATATTAAAACAGTTAAAGATGTGTTCGGGAGGTGAGGACCTCCCGCGCACGTAGAATGGAGCGACGTATTATGATTAATTAATACTTTGCTTTTTTAAAAAGAATGGATTAATATGATTTTTAAAGCAACTTTCGTATAGTTTTTTTTTCAGAAAATATATCGTTTAGCAGTTTGAAAAGCGTGCGCGCGAAAACGAAGGGAGGTGAGTTAGGAAAGTTAGGGAAAGAACTAAGCTAAGTCGTCATTTTGACGTAATAGTGCAATTAGAAGGTTCATTTTTATATAGGGAGAAATCACAAAACTAAAAGGAGTAAAAATCATAACTTGCGTTAAAAATGAAGATAAAAATATAGAACCGCTAGCTCCTTTTATGTTTGAACTTGCACTTACGTGTAGGTGTGGTATATGTGCGTAGGGGTGTGCGCACATGTAGTCTTCCATCATGTAATCGGGAAAAATAGTTATACATAGAGGGATGCACGTGACATTACTCCTTCCGTTTTCCAATATCCGGTAATTTTGATTTCTCCTTTTAAACTTTGGCCATTAGCTGTCTTTAATTGTTATGTAGAAGTTAACAATAGTTGTATGATTAAATTTAGGACATACCCATTTCAATAACATGGCATCAATTTTAGTGTTCATAAATATTAAAAATGAAACGAGTGATCCAAAAGCCAAATGTGTCCTGTATAATAACTAAACGAAGGGAGCTAATTAATACTCCATGATTATGAACATCCATGATCAAAACTCGTAGGACTCATTTGAAACACAGAATTGAATAAAAAAGAGAAGTATAAAAAATAATACAAGATTTTGATTAAGATATTTTGTTTTGCTTATTTTGATAGGAGTACAATCGCAAAATAGAGAACTGCAAATATATGGAAATCACTGTCTGATTAAGCTGTTGGAAAAACATAAATCAGAAATCGGATGCGAGATAGACTGATAGAAAAATTTTTAAGAGGTTAGAGTTATTGCTAGTAAGTTTTTTTTTTTTTGCCAAATTTCACGTGCAACGACTCAATGAGCCATTCTACAGGGATTTTATAGGATTAAAAAAATCTCCAATCCTTTATACTACCTCCGTCCCATAATAATTGTATTTATACTCTTCAAATTTTGTCCTACAAAAATTGTATTTCTGATAAGATGAGACCCACAAATGGAATTTGTATCCCAACCTTCCTTTTAATTAAGTTTACATATGGAATGTGTGCCTCAACCTTTCTTTTAACAAAGTATACATATGAAATATATGCATGCAATGTAGTTATTAAATAGGGTTATTGTGGTAAATTGTGTTTGTTGTTAATATGTCTCTAATTCCCTAGAAATGTAATTATTATGGGACGGAGGGAGTATCAAAAGGTCAAATAGAAAAAAAAATCTATAGAAATTAAATCCTATGATTTTTTTCTCACAAATTCTTTTGATTCAAATTGGCCCTAAAAATGTAAGGGTGTGTTTAGTTCACGCTAAAATTGGAAGTTTTGCTGAAATTGAAACGATGTGATGAAAAAGTTGAAAGTTTGTTTGTGTAGAAAAGTTTTGATGTGATAGAAAAGTTAAAAGTTTGAAACTAAACTCGGCCTAAGACGGGATGTAAAATTGGACGAGGAGATTACAAAATTATTACATGTACTCTACTGTGCCATTACGGTCCGACCCCACCAACCACTACTGGCTCAGACACGTTGTCTACCTCCGCTGCCCGTGCAACTTGCGCCGCTTGCTGCGCCCACGCGCAGTCGCAGACGCAGCCGATGGCCGGCTTTGTTTGACCCCCGTTCCTCCCCCCCGTCCCCAACTCCAACTGCTCGCCTAGCAAAGCAGCCTTGCCCATCGAGACGCACATGGAGAGGAGCGGCGGCGGCGGGGCGGACGGCGACGAGGAGCGGCTGCCGCTGCACCATGGGTTTGAGACGGAGAGGGCGGCTCCCTGGGCGGCGGCGGAGTCGAAGCCGCCGCCGCCGCCGCGGGGCAGGTTCGGGCGCGCCTCCGTGCGCGCCGCGCTGGCGGTGTGCTTCCTGGCCATCCCGGCCGTCCTGCTCCTGCAGCGGTGGCAGGCCGGGTCCTCGCCGGAGTGGCTCTTCGAAATCGAGCCCCCGGCGGACGGAGACCGAGGTGTGTATACATCTGCTTGTGGCCGTAGCTTTCTCCTAGCGCCGATGAGGCCATGAATCTAGCTAGTGCTTTTAATTGTAGAGTTGTATTGGTAGATTTGTAGTGTATAAACAGTAGAATTGTAGATTCGATTGTACTCCACGAGCTATTCAATTTGCGCTGGTGCGGGCCCACCTGTCAGTGGCCGATCCATCCATCCACATACAGCTTGTTCGCTGGTAGTCTTGCCAAATTTCACGATCCGTATGAGTTTTGAACAGCAAGGCGTTCGCTGTAGAATGAAGGTCGCACTTCAGAAACTTACTAGACAAGAAGTCATTTGGCGTGCTTTAAACGAAAACACAGTTACATCGTTCAAATAGAACGTTCAACCCAGTTACAACTCTTTCTTTGTTGACCGAAACATATACTTAATTCTTTGTCAGGGTCTCAGGGAGCATCACTGCTGTCCTGATGTCTCTTGAGGTCCTAATGGATGTTCTCCACATGTTTTTCCCTTCTCTTCAATCTAGGACTGTTCTATAATTCACTGTGGATTAATGTTGCTAGCACAACTCCACTAGATGCCCCAAGAGAACTTTTGTGTCATCACTCTCTCAAAGAGTCTAGCTGTGAAAGAATAAAGTTGGTTCGGTTCTGATTCTCATTATTGCTAATTGAGATTTCAGAGATCACCTTTTCCTTCTGCAACGCCTCTGTCACACAATGGTCGTTTTGGTCTAAGCATAGATAAGGTAGCAATCATTTAAATCAGCAACTTTGCTTAAATTGCCACCTTTCTTTAGTCTAAAAACTATACATGGTTCATTCATATAATAAAGTAAAATCATTTAATCTGGAATGACCTAAATTATCATGATTGTGGACATACTACCCTGGAACTGGAAGAGTGTGCAGGACTAGACCTTGCTGAAACATGTCCATTTTGTTAGTTTTAGATAAAACCAAATTAGGGGACATCAAAGAGCTATTTCCTCCATTACTTCTCATCTTCCTTTAATCTGATCTGTCGAATTTCTGAAGGACAGCTTTGTGAAGTACGGACTCCACATGGAGCACGTGATTTCTTGCAATTTGCAAGATAGTTTTGTGGGTAAAAGAACAAGCATTGCAATAAAAATTGTGGTAGGCTTTTAGTTGTTCTTCTTTAATTCTAAAAAAGGAAACCTTTTTGTGGTGAAAAGAACGACCAATCATTTCATATTAAATGCATGTATTTAATTAATCAGAAAGTGGTTGTGAACCAGTCATTTTTGCATGCTTCAGTCAGTGTAGTTCAGAGGACAGTAACTTTATCTGTCAAGTTATTTGGGGTAATGTTCTATTGCAATGACATACCTCTATCTTCTTCAGATATGCAAGATGATCTGCCTGATGATCTAACTGCATCTCAGTACATCGGCTATGACAAATTTCTGGGTGGTCTTCTGCAAGAGGGATTTGATGAAGTATCCTGCCGAAGCAGGTATCAGTTTGCACGGTACCACAAGAACTTCACAAGAATACCTTCTTCATACCTCTTAGAAAGGTTAAGGAGACAAGAAGCATTGCAGAAGAAGTGTGGTCCAGGCACTAAATCATACAAGCAAGCTGTGAAGCTGCTGAGGTCCAGTCAGGGCGTCAACATGACGACAGATTGCAACTATCTGTTCTTGACAGTACATGCTGGGTTAGGGAACAGAATGCTTGAGATTGCTTCAGCATTTCTTTATGCACTCCTTACAAACCGGATTTTGCTTTTGGACCGTTATCAGGAGATCGGTGACCTTTTCTGTGAACCTTTCCCAGGAACCTCGTGGTTAATGCCTTCGGATTTCCCTCTAAACTATGGTGAATTTACTCAGAGTAGCCCAGAGAGCTATGGAAACATGCTGCAGAATAAGGTTGTCGGTGACAATACAGATCAGTCTCTGGCTGGTTCTAGGCCTCCCTACGTGTTCCTCTACCTTGATGGTAACTATGAATTCCATGACAAGCTTTTCTTCTGCGAAGACGACCAACAGTTCCTGCAAGATGTGCCGTGGTTGATCATGAGAACCGACATGTACTTTATACCATCACTATTTCTTATTCCAAGTTACCAAGATGAGCTCAGCAGGCTATTTCCTGAGAAAGATGCTGTTTTTCATCACTTGGCACGCTATCTTTTCCATCCGACGAATAGCATATGGTATTCAGTTAAAGGGTACTACAGGTCCTACCTTGCCAAAGCTAATAAAACTGTGGGAATTCAGATCAGGATATTTGAGAAAGAGGGCATCTTGCAAAAAAACGGGCGATTTCCATATGTCTTAGAACAGATCCTTTCATGCGCTCAGAATGAAAAGCTGCTGCCAGAAATCAGTATGAAAGATGAAGCAGAAGCACCGACCGCGCCCAAGAATAACCAGACAATTGCTGTTCTTACAACTTCTCTGAGCTCCTGGTACAGTGATCAGATCCAGAAGAAGTACAGTGAGCACCCAACAGTCGATGGAACCAGGGTAGAAGTATACCAGCCGAGCCATGAGGAGTACCAGAGATCAAAGAACAAGAAGCACAACATGAAAGCACTGGCCGAGATCTACCTACTCAGCATGACGGACGTGCTCATCACCAGTGGCTTCTCCACCTTCGGCTACGCCGCGCAGGGCCTCTCCGGCCTGACGCCGTGGATCATGTTCAGGTCGGAGAACCACGCCATGCCGGACCCGCCGTGCCGCCGCGCCATGTCGATCGAGCCGTGCTTCCATCAGGCTCCCTTCTACGACTGCAAGGCGAAGAGGAACGCTGACCTGGGCAAGATGGTGCCGTTCGTGAGGCACTGCGAGGACGTCAGTTGGGGCCTGAAGGTTGTAAATCAAACTCAGTGGTAGCTGTAAATTTGTCGTTTGCTCGTTAACTAGGGAAGATTTTTTTTCTTTGTCCAAAAGGACTACACAGATTCATTCTTTACTCCACATATATTTGATCCAAATGTAGATAACTGAAGAACAAAATAGCAGTAAAGTTGTGTGTTACCTGAACATTGTTTACCGGGGCATCATCTGCGCATATTGTCTGTTACATCAGTGATCAGTCTGATTGAGTGATTGCTACAAACCGAACTTCTGGTGTGCTTCTGCTTGGCAAGGTGCTCGCTGCCAAATCCCAAATGGGAGTATGGGAGGCGGAGTTGGTGGGGAAAGGCAGCGAGATTGGATTGGCGATAACGCTGTTGCCGCTTCTTGCGGTGTTCTTGCTCGGTGAGAATGTGAGATTGGCCGTAAACGATTTTGCTAAAGGTTTGTCGCGTGATTTTTCGTCGGAAATTTGACGTTTTTCTGGCCGTCCGATTGTGAAGGATATGGTTTTGTATCTTTAAGTAACACGAAGTGCTTAGCTAAGCTGCTGCTACCGTCGGCCTTGGCTTGTCGTAAGCTTTGCGCAGCTCGCTGGCCTGGTGGCTGGCACATTACATATCGTATATCGATTTTGCTCGTGATTTTCTTCTGACATTTAACCTTTTTTTCTGGCAGCTCATCAGCCGGCCGGCACGTCGGACACAAACACGTCGGCCTTTGTGTCCAGCCTAAGCACGTGCGATGATGGAGATTGGAGAAGCACAGTGACAAGGTGGCCTCTGACCGGCGAGCCAGTCACCGCCACTACGGTCAATGCTGTTCGGCGAGCGACACCGTTCCTCTCATCGTTGTCATGAAATATAAAATTACAGTCCTATATAACTAAAATTACATTTGTAAATTTAGTTAATATGATATGTAAATGCACTGTAATTTTGATAAAAATAATGTGTAAGTAAATATGTATTTGTTATTTTCTTTAAAATATAAAATTACAGTCCTATATAACTAAATTTACATTTGTAAATTCTGTTGATATGATATGTAAGTGCACTGTAATTTTAATAAAAATAATGTGTAAGTAAATATATATTTGTTATTTTCTTTAAAATATAAAATTACATTCCTATATAACTAAATTTACATTTGTAAATTCAGTTAATATGACATGTAAGTGCACTGTAATTTTGATAAAAAATAATGTGTAAGTAAATATGTATTTGTTATTTTCTTTAAAATATAAAATTACAGTCATATATAACTAAATTTACATTTGTAAATTCAGTTGATATGACATGTAAGTGCACTGTAATTTTGATAAAAATAATATTTAAGTAAATATGTATTTATTATTTTATTTAAAATATAAAATTACAGTCCTATGTAACTAAATTTACATTTGTAACTTCAGTTGATGTGACATGTAAGTGCACTGTAATTTTGGTAAAAATAATATGTAAGTAAATATATATTTTTTATTTTATTTTGTAGTCCGTTGGATGTAAATCTAAGGGTAGAAAAAATCTGGGTGATTTTTTATTAGAAATCACCTGACAAATGGATAGATGCTCCCGGCCGTAAATCGTAAGTAATCACCGTGTTGTATTCGCGTCATAGTCTCAGGTTCTTGGGCTCAATGGAGGATATGCGTTAGCCCGGCCCATCTACGTGTTCGTTCTTGCTGTCGACCGATATAGTGGGCCTGCCCCCTTCTTTGTGTTTGTGGATGGAAAAAGTCCACTTAGACTCCCTTAATTGTTCACCGAATCTAATTCGTGGCCCTTAACTGCAAAACCGGGTAGGACGACTCCCCGTATTACTGAAACCAGTGCAATTTTACTTCTCGAGCGGCTTTAGAGGGCGGTTTTGTTGACGTGGCATTGCTAACCCGGTCTTCATTCCACGTGGCGCTTATGTGGCATTAGAATTAAAAAAATATCTGTGGGATCCATCTGCCACATAAAATATATTGTGGGACCCACCGACATGTGGGACCCACATGTCATCCTTTATCCTTCCCTTCCTCCTCCCTCCTTCTCTCTCTTCTCTCCCCCTTTTCTCTTCCCCGTTCGAACGCCTCGGCGGCAGCGGCGGCCGGGGGCCGGAGTGGCGACGGCGACCGCGCCACCGCCTGCCCTGTCTCCAAGCTGGCCTACCATCGCGCAAGCTCCGCCAGGGGCTCCGCCGGGGGCGCGGCATGGGCGCCCGCGCGCAGCCCACGCCGTCGTGGGCGCGGGAGCCACTGTTCGAGAAGGCCGTGACGCCCAGCGACGTCGGCAAGCTCAACCGCCTGCTGGTGCCCAAGCAGCACGCGGAGAAGCACTTCCCGCTGCGGCGGACGAGCTCCGACGCCTCCGCCACCGCCGCCGCGGCCACCTGCAACTCTGCAAGGGCGTGCTCCTCAACTTCGAGGACGGCGAGGGGAAGGTGTGGAGGTTCCGGTACTCGTGCTGGAACAGCAGCCAGAGTTACGTGCTGACCAAGGGATGGAGCCGATTCGTGAGGGAGAAGGGCCTCCGCGCCGGCGACACCATAGTCTTCTCCGGCTCGGCGTATGGCCCCGACAAGCTGCTCTTCATCGACTGCAAGAAGAACAACACGGCGGCGGCCACCGGCGACGAGAAGCCAATTACAAGCGGCGAAGCAACACGCGTCGTGAGGCTGTTCGGCATGGACATCACCGGCGGCGGCGGCGATTGCCGGAAGCGGGAGAGGGCGGTGGAAATGGGGCAAGAGGCGTTCTTGATGAAGAGGCAATGCGTGGTTCATCAGCGTACTCCTGCCCTTGGTGCCCTGCTGTTATAACATCAAATCAATTCATATATACATCATAAATCTTCCATCTTTTTGTTGTTCATCGCCTGTTGTTGTTTCATCTTCGATTTAGAGCGGTTCTATCTTCATTTTTTTTCCTTTGTTTTGCATAGAAGTTTGCCAATTCAGAGATTGCAAATGATCGATCGATCGTGCCCCGTCTCCAAGCTGGCCCGCCATCGCGCCACCGCCAGCGCCGCTTCCGAACCTCCGGTGGAAGGCGGTGTACAGAGCTTGCGCGATGGCAGGCCGGCTTGGAGACGGGGCAGGCGGTGGCGCGGCCACCGTCGCCACTCCGGCCCCCGGCCGCCGCCGCCACCAATGCGTCAGAACAGGGAAGAGAAAAGGGGGAGAGAAAAGAGAGAAGGGAGAGAGAGAGAGAGGGAGGAGGAAGAAGGGAAGGATAAAGGTGGGTCCCACAATTTATTTTATGTATGAATGACAGATGGATCCCGCAGGTATTTTTTTAATTATAATGTCACGTAAGCGGCACGTGGAATGAAAACCGGGTTAGCACCGCCACGTCAGCACCACATCAGCAAAACTGCCCTCCAAAACCGCTCGAAGAGTCAAATTGCACTGGTTTCAGTAATTCAGGAGTCGTCCTACCCGGTTTTACAGTTAAGGGTCACGAATTAAATTCGGTGAATAATTAAGGGAGTCTAAGTGGACTTTTTCCTTTGTGGATAGATAATGTGGCCCTAATCCATGCGCTCGGTTGAAGTGAGCATATCGATCAAATACGGACATAGGAGTACGTTGTTTTAACTTTTAACTGAGTTTGCTAAGTAGCCATACTGCCATACTCCTGTTAGAGTAAACATCTCTCCACACTAGTACGAGTACTTAAAATATATGACAGTCAAAATATGTCTGTTCAATCTGGAACATGAAGCATGTGCAGTTAATGCGTTCAATTCACCACATGGTTAAGCCCAAGCGGCGGTAAAAAGAAGTGTCCGGTTTTCAATCAGTTTACAGTACAAAATTAGCAATCTCGATGCATAGGATTCAGATGAACGGTCAACCACGCAAAACGGGCAGCAGCAACGCAGATGTATAGCTTCGTAGTGGTCGACTAAACAAGTCTACGAGATGTGAACCGCGGTCTGGAGCAAAGGCGCAGCGCCTAGTCCCACGCAAATTAACCTCCTAGTAATAATTTTCTCCTCCTAATCTCCTATAGTAGTACTACTATACTGCTAGCTGCTGCGTTTGTCTTTGCTTGCAGCATAGTGCACCACACTACACCGTCCGCTCAGCGAAGGCGATATAACAGCAATGCAGGTGCAGCAACGCAAGCCCAAGGCTTGCGCCGAGAGCGCCGCGGCGGCGCGAGGAGCGGATCAGCAGCAGTGCGACGGCAGGCCGCTGGAGGCGGGCGAGGAGTCCCTGGAGCGCTCCGTGCCGCGGAAGAGGAAGCCAGCTGCGGCGGTGGCTGCTGCCGAGAAGCGATGGAGCTCCGTGGCCTACGTCGTGCTCGCCGCCTTTGTCATGGCGACGGTCTTCGCCGTTCTTGGCGGGCGGCGCCCCGCCGTCTGGATCGCCGCCACCAAGGCCCTGCGTCGAGGTGAGTGTTTCGTCCTTCTTCCCACGAGCAGCCATGTATTTCTTGTTTCACGAGTCGCGCTGACTTCAGCTACTACTACAGCATCGTGCTCGTGCAGTTTTGCACTAGTCAGTGTACCCGTTATTTTAGTCCTGGGCTGTTCAGTACGCGCTGAAACTGAACACGACGATGCACTCTCTCATGATGATTTTCAGCGTGGAATTTCGCACTCGCTCTTATGTACTCCTAGTAGATCTGATCAGCATGATTTTCAGCGTTTTACTCCTGTTTAACTGCGATATTTGTTTCGTGTCCAACGTTTGACCGTCCGTCTTATTTAAAAAAATTATGAAAAAAATTAAAAAGACAAGTCACGCATAAAATATTAATCATGTTTTATCATATAACAATAATGAAAATACGAATTATAAAAAAATTTCATATAAAACGGACAGTCAAAATTGGACACGCAAATATATGGTTTGACTTTTTTTTTTTTGGACGGAGGGAGTATGTTGCCTGCAAAATGCACATTATTGTGATTGAGCTAGGTGGCCCTAATATGAAGTTTCAGGCAGGGTGGGTAACTTCACAATTGGAAATGTTTACAGCCTAAAATTTATCTGGGCTTCCTTGCACCGTTCTAAGGCCCGTTAGATGTTTGGTGCACACGTGTATACGGTACACCTTACAAAATCGTTTGTTCTGTGCAGGTTCCGACGATAAATCGATTCCATTGGCACGAAGCGCCGCTGACAAACTCCTCGGCGGCCTCTTGCCCGAAGGATTCGACGAGAAATCATGTCGCAGCAGGTACGAGTCATACCTGTACCGCCGGAACCCGGGCCGACGACCATCTCCGCACCTCGTGGCGCGGCTGCGGATGCACGAGGAGCTCCAGAGACGGTGCGGCCCCAACACGGAGTCGTACAACCGCGCCGTGCAACGGCTGAGGGACGGCGGCGCCGCCGAGGCCGACGCGCACTCGCCGGACGACGAGCAGTGCAAGTACGTGGTCTCCATCTCGTACCGCGGCCTCGGGAACCGCATCCTCGCCGCCGCGTCGGCCTTCCTCTACGCGGTGCTCACCGGCCGCGTCCTCCTCGTCGACCCGAGCAACGAGATGGACGAGCTCTTCTGCGAGCCGTTCCCCGGCACGACGTGGCTGCTCCCACGCGACTTCCCGCTGGCGTCGAGCTACGCGAACTTCAGCGCCGACACCGCCGAGAGCTACGGCAACATGCTGAAGAACAAGGTGCTCGGGACGGACGGGAGTACTGACGGTGACATGCCCGCGGCGCAGATGCCGGCGTTCGCGTACCTCCACCTGGACCACGACTACGGCGACGGCGACAAGATGTTCTTCTGCGACGACGACCAGCGGCTGCTGTCGAACATCCAGTGGCTGGTGATGAGGACGGACACCTACATCGTGCCGTCGCTGTTCCTGGTCACCACGTTCCAGGACGAGCTCGACGCGCTCTTCCCGGAGCGCGACGCCGTGTTCCACCACCTCGGCCGGTACCTGTTCCACCCGGCCAACCATGTCTGGGGCCTCGTCGCGCGGTACTACCGCGCGTACCTCGCGACGGCGCGGCAGCTGGTCGGCGTCCAGGTGCGCGTCTTCGACCACCGGCAGGCGAAGTCGCCGCACGTCGTCCTCGAGCAGATCACGTCGTGCGCGTGGAAGGAGAAGCTGCTCCCGGAGGTACTCGACGCGGTGGAGGACGCGGCCATGCCCACGCCACCGACGACGCCGCACGGCGGGAGCAACAACTCCAAGGCCGTCCTGATCACCTCTCTCCGGCCGTGGTTCTACGAGCGCGTCAAGGCTATGTACTGGGAGCGCGCGACGGCGACCGGCGAGGACGTGAGCGTGCACCAGCCGAGCCACGAGGAGTACCAGCACTTCGGCGAGAAGTCGCACGACGGCAAGGCGTGGGCGGAGATGTACCTCCTGAGCCTGTGCGACGTGCTGGTGACCAGCGGCTGGTCGACGTTCGGGTACGTGGCGCAGGGGCTCGGCGGGCTGAGGCCGTGGGTGATGTACAAGCCGGTGAACATCACGGCGGTGCCGGACCCGCCGTGCGGACGGGACGTGTCCATGGAGCCGTGCTTCCACTCGCCGCCGTTCTACGACTGCAAGACGAAGCGCGGAGTGGACACCGGGACAATACTGCCCCACGTTCGGCACTGCGACGACGTGAGCTGGGGATTGAAGCTTGTTGATCCGAATGGAAGTCCGAACTAGTACAACTGTATAAGGCTTCATGCTGCAAAAGCAAACTTTACAAAGATTTCATTTGCATGTTTTTTTTTTGGGCCGGGATGGCCGAAGAAAAGACCACCGGAATGTTATTAAGGTTGAGGGAAAAATTAAAAGAGAACACCATAAGGATATTGAGGTCGGTTCCTTTAATTCTAGAAACCGCACACCAACCACAAATACAGGGATAGAAGATGTGTCCCCCTCCCAACTCAGGATTTGGATCTGGTGCAGTCGTTAATGTGACTGCATAAGTTGCGGTTCGGATCCAAGAGTCAAAATGCATCCGGGTATTATATTACACTGTAGCAAAACATATTTACTATTTTTTACATCGGCACTATAACCAATGATCTGGTCCGTTCATCAACAAAATGGATGGCCCATATTTTGTGCAGTAGCTTAACTTGCAGGCCCTATTGAAATTGCTGGCGATCCCGAATCTCCGAACTCATCTTGGAACCATCCCCTGCACACAAACACATGACACTGAGGGAAGGTATCTAGCACTAGGGATGAAAACAGAGCGGACACAGATGAATAATGCTCATACCGTATTCGTTTTCATTTTTTTTTGCTAGATATAAAAACGAATACGGAAACAGATACGGAATATCTCGAATACGAATAAGAATCGAATATGATCGGACACGAATATGGAAACATTTTTTTCTCGGTACACGAAAACCAACTCAACTTCTAATAAAAACAAATATCAACATATATAATTACCTCATTTTATATAAAATGTAGTATAATTTATATGTTTTCAAAAAGTTAAATAATATTAATATTGTGGACTAGTGTTAATAGATGAACTACTATTAAAATCTAAAAAGGTATAATGAAGACCATAGAGTTATAAATAAATGAGGTATGTCTCATGGCTTTTGTGGATATCCGAATTATTATCCGTATCCGACGAAAACCCCAATACTTTATCCGTATCCGAACTATCCGAGAATTATCCGATCTGAAAGTTATCCGTATTCGTTTTTCTCCGAAGCGGACGAAAACTATCCGCTCTGTTTTTATCCCTATCTAGCACCAAATTGACCTCCGCTATACATGATCGATCGTTGTTAGGCCTACAACAATACCACATAGCAAAGTCTTCAAATATGACGCCTCCACGTTGATTTTACATTAAGGATGTGTTGTATTTTGTTTTTCATGCTTACATTTGTACAAACCTACTCCCTCCGTCCCAAAATAAGTGCAGTTTTAAACTGTTCATGTTCAACGTTTGATCATTTATCTTATTTGAATTTTTTTTATGATTAGTATTTTTTATTGATATTAGATGATAAAACATAAATAATATTTTATGTGCGACTATTTTTTTTAGTTTTTTTCATAAATTTTTTAAATAAGACGGACGGTCAAACGTTAGACACGGATACTCACGGTTGCGCTTATTTTGGGACGAAAGTAGTAGCATATACTCCCTTCGTCCCAAAATATAAGCATTTTTAGACTTTGACATGGTCTTTAAGATTATACTTTGACCAACAATATCTACAAAAATAAGATGTTTTAAATAAAAAGGGTTGCATATTATGATAGTTATGATAAATCTAGTAACGTCAAATTTACATGATTGATAGTTTTTATTTCTCTGCTATTAATTGTTAAAATTTTAAAAAGTTTGACTTAGCATTATTTTAAAAAATACTTATATTTCAGGACGGAGGGAGTAGCTTATATTGTTTTTTTTCCGTTTCCCAACTTCAACTATAATACGTGGTAATTTCCTAGGCAGAGAGATAGAGAGTTGGGGGAAGGGGGCGTCCAAATTTTTCCATGACATTATTTGTCCTATCAATCACCTTCTATTTATTTTTCTTATCTTAACTTCAACCACCGTTCCGCTTACAAGTTACAACCATCTCTTATGAAATTATGAATATGATAGTCTTTTCTTCTTATCCTAGTACTCCTACTAAGCAATTCAGAAATGTATGTATTTGTGGATGGAGGAGGTAGTATAGTTAGAGTAAATTATTTACTGTCCGCATCCTATAGTCCTATACTACTGCAGTTTCTGCAATCTCAACTTCTCAAGTACTACCCCATATCCCATTGAGGAATCAACACACCGCACCCGGTGAGGTAATCCGGAGTACGGGATAGTGAAACAATTTCACCGCTGACTAAAAGCTTTGTCCGTACCTGCACACTTGTAAGCATTCGAACTGACGCGCGGACGGGGGCAGACCGGCAGAGTCCCTCGGCAACAGCAGCCATGAAAGCTACACGACCCTTAGAGCAAGTTTAATACTTCAATTCATATATAGCCAAACTAATAGCTTATTTGTACAATAGTTATGTACTATAGTATTAATACTTGGTCCCACCTATTATACACACTGTATTCTAAAGTTCGTGTTATCTGTAACCCGCTGCTCTTTTCTCTCCTTATTTATCTTCTTAAAATATGTTTACAGCTTATTTATAGCATACTATTGTACGCTCTTACTCAAAAGCAAAATGAGCTACAGGCACAGGGCAAACAAACAGCAATAAATACCACTGTAGCAACTAGATTAGCCAATTCATGGTGTACCCGGGCAACAAGCCGTCGGCATCGACTGTACGGTGTCAGAGAAAGAGGGCGTCAGTGCGTCACACACCCTAGAGAGCCCAAAGCGAACCAAACCCAAACCCACCGCCGGGGCCGCATCAGCCGCGACGCACGCTCGCCTCATCAACCGCGGAACGCGGCGAGCCGCTCGTCCGGCACCGCATCACCGGAACACCCGACGCTGTCGCATGCACGGCGCCGAGAGAAAAAAAGCGAAAGCCCCCCCCCCCCCCCACCTGCCGGCCACTTCCCGCCCACGCCGAGGTCGCTCCGCCCCCCGCCCCTTTCACCGACGACGTTGCCACCGTGCCGTCACGTCGTCTCCTCTCCTCCGATCCAAACCCCAACTTTTTTTTTGAGTTTTTTCGCCCCGAAAACCCAGCAAAAATTCAAAGCCCCCTGTGTGCGGGTGGGTGGGTCCCACCTCGTCGCATGAATCCGCCCCGTTTCTATTTGAGCCGAAGAAGTGGCTTTCCTCGTTGCCTTGGCCTCTGATTGCGTTGCGCCTTTCGTCGTGCCACGGCGTAACGCCACGCGAAGCTTTTTTGACCTCGCGCTTTTCCACCGCGAACCCGAGGGGCTCGCGCGGGCTTTCCACAATCCGCATGGACCTCAAGGAGCGGATCCGCCGCTCGCCGACGCCTCCGACGCAGGGGGAGGAGCTACTGGCGGCGTCGCCGGCCGGGCCGCGCGGCGGGAGGAAGGGACGGGCGGTGGTGCTGCCGCTGTCAGCCGCGGCGCTCGTGGCGTGCGCGGTCGTCCTGCTCCTGCTCGCCGGGGGCTCCGCGGCGCGGAGGGGACAGTTCGTCGGCGCTGATCCTACCGTCCTCCCATCACGGGGCGGTGGCGTTGGCGACTTGCACCTGTCCCAGTCGAAATCGAACGATGGTAAGAAAATGAAAATGGTGTGTTTGACAGTTTCCATTTTTTTTTCTGTTGGAGTTCACAGCATCACGCCGCTCTAGGACCATCGGTTAATTGAATGACAATTTCGAGGGTTGCGTGTGGTGAAGTGTGGATCGCGACGTAGCATCTGGGTGTCCATCAGGCGTGAACTAAATGCTTGTCTTGCATGTCCCTTCTTTCTGTCGTAGTAGTAGCGCAAGTTCTGAAAAACTTACCGAGCTAGTAGTAGTAAAGAATTTTGCGTACTGTTTTAACCTTTTGGACTTTGCAATGTTACAAGTTGTTAGATTATCTATGACTTATAATGTTTACTGAAAATTTGTAATGTGAGAGCAGTTTATTATCTTCTTTTATCCTATACATATGTATATGTTTCATTGGTCTGAAAAATATTCATGCTTGGATAATTGATCCCTTCATCAGCTCTATACTTCGCCAGGTTAACTTTAATACGATAGTGAACGGGTTTCCCCCCCTTTATCTACAAACTAAAAGTACAGTTATAACATGTTGTACTGATTCTGATATAAATTTTTGTCTTTTTGTTAGGAGAAAATGTCACTATAGCATCTTCGGAAGTTGTCAACGACAAACTACTGGGTGGTTTGTTAACTACTGGATTTGATGAACAATCATGTCTAAGCAGATATCAATCTGTACTATACCGTAAAGCATCATCCCATTTTCCATCTGCATATCTTCTGGAGAGACTAAGGGAACATGAGGCACTTCAAAAGAAGTGTGGTCCACATACTGAATCATACAAGAAAGCTATTGAGCAGCTAAAGGCTGGACAGGGGGCTAAGGTTATGGAGTGCAACTATTTGGTATGGGTAGCTTACAGTGGTCTGGGGAACAGGATCTTGACAATGGCTTCAGCATTCCTGTATGCTATCCTCACTAGAAGAGTTTTACTTGTCGACAGTGATAAAGGCACTGCAGATCTTTTCTGTGAACCATTCCCTGAAACATCATGGTTACTACCGCCAAAATTCCCTATTAAGCAGTTCAAGAATTTCAGTAATGGTTCTCCTGAGAGTTATGGAAACATGCTGAAAAACAAAGCTATTCGTTCTAACCCTGCTTTTCTTTATCTTCATATGGCTCATGATTACAGTGACTATGATAAGCTATTTTTCTGTGAAGATAATCAGCAATATCTTCGAAATATCCCATGGCTGATCCTAAAATCAGATAATTACTTTGTACCATCACTTTTCCTGATTCCAGCATATCAAGAGGAACTCACAAGGCTTTTCCCTCAGAGAGATTCCGTTTTCCATCACTTGGGACGTTACTTGTTTCACCCTAGCAATGTTGTGTGGGGCATGGTCACAAGGTATTATGATTCTTATCTAGCCAGAGCTGATGAAAGGCTGGGTATCCAGATCAGAGTCTTTGATCCTGAACCAGGACCATTTCAGCACGTCTTGGATCAGGTTCTTGCATGCACGCTAAAGGAAAACCTATTGCCAGCAATCAACAGTAAACAGCCAATTGTCTCAACAAGGCATTCTAGATTAAAATCTGTCCTAATCACTTCTCTGAATTCAGGATACTATGAGAAGATCAGAAGCATGTACTGGGAACATCCAACCACGAACGGTGAGATGATCAGCTTCCACCAGCCAAGCCATGAGGAACATCAGAACTCAGACAAGAAAATGCATAACATGAAAGCATGGGCTGAGATTTATCTGTTAAGCTTATCTGATGTTATGGTCACCAGTGCTTGGTCAACCTTTGGGTATGTTGCTCAGGGTCTCAGTGGTTTGAGGCCATGGCTATTATTCAAGCCCGAAAACCGCATCGCACCTGATCCACCTTGCCGTCAAGTTTTGTCCATGGAACCTTGCTTTCATGCTCCACCTTTCTATGATTGCAAAGCAAAGAGGGGAGCTGATACTGGAAAGTTTGTCCCATATGTAAGTCATTGCGAAGATATGAGCTGGGGGCTTAAGCTAGTCGATCAGAGTGAGTGGTAGATGTAGTGTCCTTTATTTTGTTCAGTTCATATATGTACAGTATGTGCCATTTTTTTTATGATATAGGTTACCTTGTATCTAAGTTATAGGAAAGCCATTTTTGACATGGTTAACACAAATGCAGTGGTTTGAACCACTGCATTTGTATACATAATCCCAGTGATGTTCTTGTGAGAAATTTCAGTATCATAACAAATCACACAAATATGCAGCAGCCTAGGATCAATTGCTAGGGAAGGAAATTTCCTTTTCCATAAACAATTAATGTAGTTATGCATCCGGTGAATCTCCATTTTCATAACACATGGACTTGGCAATTGCGTAGTGAGTTACTTATGTTGTCCACGAACATTGTGAATGTGTTGATTGATAGATTAATTAAGATGAAGAAAGGAACAAAAAGTTTGACGGTCCAGGATATTTTCAAGAAGAGGAGAGGGTGTGGATGATATTTTTGTTGAACGGGTCTGAAAGATGTGTCAAAAGATTGTCGATTGGTCCAACATGAGTCACAGATGCTTGCACAATAAACCCAAGCATAGCAACCATAGCCAACCTCCCTGTGACAGTCGTAGATCATGTTAGCAAACTATGACTATTACTATGGATTTATGTTGCAAGCAAACTGTACTTAGAGAAAGTGGAGCTACCATTCTTGATTTCTTTCAGTTTCGCTTCATCTGCATTCTCTATATCCTTGGCCAGTCCTAGTGGATTAAACAGTGGACCCCCAGGGTAGCTGCCAAGATTCAGAATGTCAGTAGTTGTAGTTAAAGCAGACAACCATGGACTTGCTCAGGTAAATTGTTTGGATGCTTCATTTCGGAGCAAAATTCTTGTACTTACCCTGGCTGTGAACCTGCAAGTGCAGCCTCGATACCAAGGAATGTTCCTTCCTCTGCTTGTGATCCTGGATTGATAAAGTCCATGTACCTCTTGGTTTCAGCAAATCTGTTGGGAATTGGAGTTATCATGGGAACATGTCAGTCTTATGATGTGTAAAGTCATCAATTCATCATACAATTTGAGTTATGAGTTATTGAAGCTTTTCTTTTACCACTGACAAAATGTTTCAGTTGGATGCTGAATTACCCCATCAAGAGAAGCTGGACAAAGAAGAGTGCCGTGGTGTTAGCGAAGTCGAATTTTGTTGCACCTGCTTCAAACCACACTGGCAGGTTGTTGATTCCTGATACACGTATCAACTGCAGAGAACAGTGACAATTATTTAGACCATGCGCCACTTTTTTTAAAGATAATGAAAATGTTTTACATGCCTGACCTCTTCCATAGGGCACACAGCCAATTTAGACCATGCGCCATAAGAAAGCATAACATACCATGAAGCTACCTCAAAAAAAGAAAAGAAGAAGAAGCAAATCATGTTCTTGTTTGGATTTTGTAATTGGGCAGGCTCTGTTTGAATGCTATCAATCTATATCCATCCCTTTTATTTTGGCTCGTTGATATATATTTTAGCTTTTAGCGCACTAAAAAAATTGGGTTCCGATATATTCAGATGTTTAATATTAAATTATTTCCCTTAAAAATAATAATATTAAATTCTTGTGTTACAATGTTGGTATATTGGGTTTGATTTAATTTCCACTGAATATCTATTTCAACCTGATTAGATAATCCCCCGTATCATTCTTTTTTTCTCGGATTTATTTGCACAACTGTGAAAATTCAGAAAATTCTCTATCCATATCTGTGAAACCAAACTTCCAGTGTTATGATTTCTCAGGGCTAATAACTGCAAAGAGATTACATTGGACGAGGAATGGACAGAAGATGTAAGAAACTTACATCAGTCGCAAGGATGCCAGCAACCCCTGCCATCGCAAACCGGCAGTGCACAAGTTCGGCTTGAACATACCATTTCAAGTTTGCCGGTTCCTCCCCGAGACCCAGGGGATCAAATCCGAAATCGCCAGGTAATCTACAACCAAAATTACAGAAATGCCGACTTACTGATCAGCCTACTGCCATCATCAGACACAGAACAGAAAAACACTATTACAGATTTTCAGGTAACTGACGTGCCGTCGAGGTGAGGAGGTGGATCGAGCCCAGGCAGCCAGGTCGCACGCTCGGTGCTAGCTCGCACTGCAATCCGAGCTCGTGGAGACTGAAAAACATGGTGTCCAGGAATGGCCGCCATGCTTCTGCTCAAAGCTGTAACCGGCTTTGGGGAGAGTGTGCAGGTGTGCAGGACTCGGCCATGGCTGTTAGCTCCTAACGACGCCATGGCTGCCGCCGCTGTAAGATTTTGGTTGCTTCAGTGTTGCCGCCGCTGCAAGGGGCCTTCTTGGCTGTTGTTTCTTGGGGGCGTGGGTGGATGGTGGATAGAAGGTGTGGATATCGAATCAGAGGGCGTTCACAAATTTCAGTGGCTACGAGTTTGTTGCCTGTCCTTGTCCCTGCTTGCTTTTCTGGACCAAGCTGGAGAGGCCTGGAGCTGATGAACATTTCTATGTTTTCATTTCAGCTTACTTAAATATCCGTGCTTTGCTAAGGATGAAAATAAATTAAGGTTTTCCCAAATGAAATAAGATAGAATCATATATGTAGAAAGATTATTTTATAACATTAAAATATATAGAGTAGTTGATAGAAAACATGATGAAGTAGTTGGTAAATAAAAAAAAAATTGGTGATGTGGTGGCAAATTCACTTTCATCACATTGCCCTTTTTAAAAAGAGTATATTAAATACCGGTGTTTTGCTAGGGATTAAAACAAATTAAGGTTTTTGGGACAATTTCGTCCCAAATGAAATAAGATAGAATAGTATATGTAGAGAGATTATTTTATGACATTAAAATACATGGAGTAATTGATAAAAAACATGATGGAATAGTTGGTAAATAAAAAAAATACTATACATGGAGTAGTTGCTCTTTTTTAAAATGAGTATAGATCAACTGGAACCAAAATTTAAATTTAGAATTGATCTGGGATATCTTTTGAGTAAATTCGATTGGTGGCACAGATATTGTCCTAGTACTAAAAAATAACACAGAAAATTTATGCTTCCATTTGAAAGCACAGCTCCGTTAAAATCTTCTAGTTTATAGCACTCCCGTCTCCTTTAGATATAATGGTGTAACTAGGGATGAAATTGCCCTCACTGTCCCACACCAGAATACACCGATTTCCTTTCCCTCGTTCCCTCTCTACGGCAGCGGTGGCGCCTACTCATGCCGCATGACCACTTCGTCGGCTACCCGAATATTGGCCATCCACGAATAATTGCGGCGGCACGGGTGCGGCGTCCAGGCCCAACAGCGCGGAGCTTGTCCCGGTGGGCACTGTCTCCCACGGAGTCCTCGCTGACGCCGATGTCGCTGTGACGCCCAAAATAGCAAGAACAAAAGAAATGCGAAAACAACAGTATCGTTGGTTGGCTTTGAGCGAGCAACAGCAGTAGCAGCCAGCCAAGCCGCGCAGTCCCCATCCAACAACAAAGTCGTCATCGTCGTGGTGCTTGGCCTCCTCGAGCACCCAGGCGTAGGTGTCAACAGCTAGCACTGCAGAAGGCAGTGAGGAGGTCCGGATCCAAAAGAATGGCGAACGGGCTCCGACGATAGCGGCGCGGTCGAACGAGCTCGCGGCCGTGGAGACATGGTTGAGCGGGCTAGACGGCGGCCACGGCAACGTGGCCGCACGGGATAGACGATGCCGTGGCGTACAGGCTCGCCGCCATGCCGTCGCGCTTGGAGAGAAACGAACAAGGCAGCAGAAGGAAGATGGTGAAACAGAGGTCCTTTTAGTCTTTCTGCATTCCGATTGCTTTGACTAATGGCTAAACTGACGGAAGTGCTGTAAAATCGAGAAAAATTGACGGAGCTGTGCTTTCAAACGGAGGCATAAATTTTTTGTGCTATTTTCTGGTACTGGGTGAATAGCTGGGCTATCAATCGAATTTCCTCATATCTTTTTCATCGTAGTTTACTTTCATCGTTGAAATGACATGGATATAAAAAAAATCACAAATTATTTTTTAAACTAATAAGCTTATGGTTTATCAGCTATATACAAAACGATTAACCTGGAATTGTTTTGCACAGTTATATGACAGCCGACGAAACTTTTGTTTAGGTAAAATAATAGTAGTATATGGAATTCTGGAGAAAGCTCTGTTCTGTTTGCTGGTGATGGGCCGCAGTGTGCGCGGCCGGTTTGCTTCAGGACGTTGGAATTACCTGGACGCTGCATACTAGATCTAGCAGAAAATGTGCCGATTGACGTCATTGATGTATTTTGTCAAAATTAAGCTAATAAAATTGGTGAATGGCTCCTCTCTTCAGCCATTGACAAATTTTGACATGATAATTTAATGCACCGACCAAAAACCATTGATTTGTTCACAAACGAGTAAACAACAACGTGTCAGCAGAATATACTGTTCTTTTAAAAAGGGCGCTACAAACGTTCCATTCATTTTAAAATCAAAACTCTAATAATTCTCCAAGAAGAATCTCCTGGTTGTTGCTGATCCACCTATAATACTATTGATTTTGCCCTCTACTCCATATTTAAATCGCGAGAGGGGGTTTCCGCGTACCAGACCAGATGTACGTGTACGTTCAGTACGTACATCTGTAAATACGTGTATTAAAATCAGACAAGACCATCAGTTTCCAGTCCCTAATTGAGTCTGTACCAGCAAGAAGCCAGCAAGCTTTACGTACGTACGATACGTGGTGGTTTGCTACAGGCTTCAATTTGGACGGTCGGTGACTGCGCGTTGGAACATGGAAGCGTGACAGGTCGGCACCATCTGCTACCGATCTGAAGCAATTCTTTGCATCGGACCAGGTTCATGCAGGATTTCAGATGGTTTACGTTGTCTTCTTTTCTTTTTCTTAAGATTGACAAGACACGATGCAAATCCAAATCCGGTGGTCAAAACGGTGCGAGAAAGTGACTCGCGATCACTCCCAGAGTTCCAGGCCACAGAAAAGCTTAGCACGACGTGTTGCAGTATTATTTGTCTAATGTTTGAAAATTCAGTGAGAAATATCTCACTGTTACTGTTACATCACTCCAAGGAAACAGTAGTAAAGGTTTTTTTTTTTTTTTTTTTTTTTTTTTTTTTTTTTTTTTGCGGGGAACAGTAGTAAAGGTTTAAGAATCCTATTAAGAATGGAACAAGAAATGAAGCAACGATCGAGCAATGAAATGGGTGACAGATCATCGATCATGGCATGGACCAGAAGCTGCCGTCGTCGAGCATCATGATCTCCCGTAGGCCGTCCCAGATCTCCTGGTCCTTCGCCGCCGCCGCCGTCCTCGCGTGCTCTGGCGCGTGCACCGGCGACGACGCGTTCGAGCCGCAGTTCTCACGGAGGTTGTGATGGAGGAGTGGACGTGGCTGCTGCGCGGCCGTGGACGCCGGGAAGTTGAGCTTGGCGCGCTGGCCGCGGAACTCGAGCGCGGCGACGTCGTAGGCGCGCGCGGCGTCCTCGGCGGTGTCGAACGTGCCGAGCCACTTGCAGACGGCGCGGCGCGGGTCGCGGATCTCCGCCGCCCACTTCCCCCACGGCCGACGCCGCACGCCCCTGTACCTGCTCCCCTCGCCGCCGCTCCGCCTCCGCGGCCTCCTCTTGCCCACGCCGCCCGTCACGCCGCCGCTGGCCACCGCGCCCGTGGTGCACTCCCCCTCATCCTCCTCGTCGCTGCAGCTCGAGCCAGCCGCCGCCGCCAACACCACCACCTCGCAGTCCACGCCGATGCACCCGTCCACCCCGCACCTGGCGCACGTAGCCGCACCGGCAACCACGGTCGCCATCGTCGGCTCCGGCAGCAGCGTCGGCACCGTGGTGTCACCGGACACGACGGAGATGAGCGCGCGGATGAACAGCGAGTCCTCCCGCTCGCTGTTGGGGAGATGGAACCCGCCGCCGCCGCGCTCCACCCTCGGCACCATGGCTGAACCAAACAAACCTCGGCGAGTTCGGTCGGTGTCACGCAAAAGTTGGCGCGCTATCGTGATCCGGGCGCTGCTGCTGATGGCTGATGGGGTTTGGTCTCTGGGTCGGTTTATATACTGGTGCGAAACGGTGCATCTCCAGCGAGACGCACACGGAGACGACGGCTGCTGGGCTCGCGGGGCACGTTCTCATCGTGGGGTGGGAACTGGTGCGGCACAAGGGAGAGACGGGCTAGGACGGCTGGATTTTAATTATGACTATGTCGATTGGGTTCTTTGTCTGTTCATATACCACTATATTGTATTGCCAAGTTGGAAGAGTGCTTTAATTTGCTCTAATTTTTTATGAGGAAGAGGATCACTTGCTCTAAGCTTGCAGTAGTAGCATATTTTTGTGTGATTAAGTAAGATCGATTCAGAAGCTTAACACGTTTATTTCGTGATGTTGGTCTTGGGTTTTGTTTTGGAGGAGTAGAACATAAGGGCCCCTTTGAATCGTAGGAATGAAAAAACATAGGAATAGGAAAAACACAGGATTCTGACAGGAATACAATTGTAAAACAGAGGAGTGCAAAACACAGGAAAAACACAGGAATGGCTGTTTGATTGGACCACAGGAAAAACGCAGGAATCAGATGAGAGAGATAGACTCAGAGGAAATGTTCCAAGAGGTTAGACCTCTTGCTAACTTTCCTCCAAAATGTGCATAGGATTACCCATTCCATAGGAATTTTAAAGGATTGGATAGGATTCAATCCTTTGTCTCAAAGGCCTTCATAGGATTTTTTTTCCATAGGATTGAAATCCTCCAAAATTCCTATATTTTTCCTACAAATCAAAGGGGCCCTAAGCTTGTAGATTTTGCATGTGCTAATTCTTGCTTAATTCTTGCTAATTCTTGAAATCCTCCAAAAGGAGGTAGTTTGATCACAAAACGTGCCGTGCCATCCTGGCAAAAATAAAAAGACTCGAATATTAGAAAAGGAACTAATATCAAATAATTAAAAGAGGTAAGGCTTTGAACCCAGATCATCTAGCCCATCATCCTGTGGAGTTAGCTGGAAGACTCCTAGACATTTCTCACCATCCTCACAAAAATAAATCATGCAGTACTAATAATTAATCAATCTGCCAGTTGTCCTCGAAAAAAAAATCAATCTGGCAGCTGTTCATATTTTTTCTATGCCTTCTATAAGAAAATTAAAAAAAAGTGTTTATTTTCTCAAAGAAAAACTTTTGCCTGACAAACAAAGTGCTGTCATGTAACACCCTGAAAATTCGACCGACAAAATCAAAACTCTAAAAATACGGATTTTCAAAAACTTTTTAAACTAATTACATCATGCCGATCTTATTCGTCTATTTTATCTGGATTTGATCTCGAAGATTATTAATCGTGAGTAAAGAATAGTTAATTAGGAATAAACCTTAAAAACAAATTGGTAAAATAAATACAAAATAAAGATTAGGTGGATAGAAATAAATAAAATATTATCGCGACCATATTTGGATCAATTAAATTTAAATACGATGGAATAAGAATTAACCCTAATTAAAACTCAAATAAATTACATAAAAATAAAATATGAGTAATATTAATCTAGGGTGAATTCATTAGTTAAGATAACACAAATATTGAGTAAAATGCATATATGCAAAATTAAGAATTGTGGAATCAAATTTATACGGAAATTACACTAAAATCGGGTTAATTAGAAATCGGCACTATTCATTGCACCTAAGGTGTTCGACGCGTTCCCCTAACCCAGCTCCTCCTCTTTCCCCCTCTCTCTCGTCGCCAGCCGCCACGCGCCGTCGCCCTCATCGCTTGCCACCGTCGCCATCCCGTCGCCGCGTGCGCGTTCCATCGTCGCCTCGAGCCGTGCCGCTGCCGCTGCCACGCCGCGAGCCCGCGCCGCGCCGTCCCATCGTTGCGGTCACGCCGTGCCGTCGTGTCGCCGCCCATCGCATCCCGCCCCGAGCCGCGCGCCACCGCTGTCGCCGTCGCCATCGACGTCCCGCCGCCGCGCGCGTCCCATCGCCGCTGCCGCGCCGCGCGCCGTCTCGTCGCCTCGCGCCGCGAGCCCGCGCCTTGCGCCCCGCGCTGCGCCGCTGCCGCCTGCTGTGCCGCGCGCCGTCGCCATCGCGTCGCATCGCCATCGCCGTCGCTCGCGCCACGCAGCCGTCGCGTCGCCTCGCTTCGCGCGCCCCCACCTCGCGCCCCGCGCCGCCGTCGCGTCTCCCCTCTCCCCTCTTTCCCTTATTTCTTCCCCTCTCCCCTATAAAGACCCCGGCCTAATCCCCCTTCTCCACCCCACTCCATTTCCTCCTCTTCTCCCTCTTCCCCTTCTCCACGCGCTGCCGTCGTCGCGCCGCCGCGCCGCCGCTGTCGTGCCGCCGCGCCGTCGCCCCGGAGCCGCTGCGCCTTGCGCCGCCGTCACCGTCGTCGCCGCCACCGCCGCCGCCGGTGAGCCATCTCCCCTCCTTCACCTCGCGCCCACCGCCGTCGCCACCCGGGGAAGCAAAGAGCCGAGAGAGAGAGAGGGAAACCGAGGGAGGGAAAGGATAAGGAAGGAGGAGAGAAACCGGGAGGGAGAGAGAGAAGGAAAAAAAAAGAAAAAAAAAGAAAAGAGAGGCCGGCAGATAAGAGAAAAAGGAGAGAAAAAGAAAGAGAGGGAGAGAAAAGAGAGAAAAAGAAAAAGAGGAGAGAAAAAGAGGGAAAATAGAAAAGAAGAAAAGGAGAAAATAGAAGGGGAATCGGGGGAGAAATTAAGAGGATTTAGGAAATAAAAAAATGGTCGGGGTTAATCATAGATTATTTTTGGAAATTCCTCGAGCGTAATAGTATTTCGGTCGAAATTCCGAGTTAATTATAAAAATATGTTTATTGAACAGATTAGATTAAAATTGGTAGTAATTTAGATATAATTAGTAGCTAAACAATTAGATGAATTCTTATAGATTATTATAGATTATTTTTGGTAATCTCTATAAGTCATCGGTTCACGGTAGAAATTCGGATTTAATTACTAGGAATCTTATCCGTGTATTATATTTAATCATTTAGTCATAGACTAAATTAAATTGTATAATATTTCTAGGATTTCGTCCGATATTTAGCTCGTAATAGAAATTTCTAACCTATTATATGGATATAATGCTCGGGGAGAGTAAATTAAAAACTTATGACAACGAAATAATTATACCCGCAAAATAGTTTAAATCGAAATTGGGTTTGCCGTAGTTCGCAGATAGTAAAGTTAATAAAAAGGAATCGACTTTCGCATTCGACTTTCATTTGGATTCATTTGGATTTTTATTTGAATTCTAACCGAATTCAAATCAATTCTTGCACGTAACTATAGAGCCCGAGGGAGTTGCGGATCCAAGCGAAGGCCAAGACCCGCAAGACTTTGAGCAAGGCAAGTCATCACTATTCCTTGAACATGTTGATCCTAATTGCGAAATTGTTTTGTTTACAAATAAAGTTGCATGCAATGATGAACATCCTACTTGTGATTATGCCATGCCTTGGTTATTGTTTACCCTTAAATCTTTGTAACCATGTTTACGTATGAGTCCCTAGTCAACTATGACAAATGCTTAGAAATGCTATTCTAGAATCATGCATACTCATATTTGTCAAATGCTATATGCTTGGGCAATTATCTTTGGGAAGGTAATTGAGATGCGGCATGTGGAGACATGAGCGCCACATTGCCATGATATTGAGGACATGATTTGTGAAAGGAGAAATAAACTAAATAACTGTTTTCGACTGGGGCGGACGGAGGATTTGGGTGGTATCTGGAAAAGGCTAGTACCGTCCCCGGTCAATTAAGGACCGAGCCATGAAGTTAAGCATGAAACGACCCTCGTACAACCGCACTTCTCATATGGGTATAGACCTAGCGGAGTAGATAGCCGAGCGGAGGCAGTATCCCTGCATAGATGGTTCACCCCTGAGTGAGGCAGGTGCGCTACGGTGGGACAGCCATTGAGGTAGGGCCGAGAGGCATGCCCTACATCGGTGTCGCCATTGGTAGGACTGCCATGAGTGTGTGTGAGAGAGAACTTAACTTGAGCCATAATTTAATGTGTGTGAGACTTCTCTTTCCCGGGAGCGCCAGAACTCCTCTCACTGCTAGAAACATGGACGCCTAGAGTGCATGAGGATTTAAGTTCATGGAGCGGGTACTGCCAATGCGAGGTTATCAAAAGGCTTTGCCGTGGCGCGTCTCATGTGTTGGGACGAGGCTCATGTGTTGGGCAGTCGCGGAGTGCGGGTAAAGTGTACATCCACTGCAGTGTGAGTAAACCAAATCTATTTGAATAGCCGTGTTCGCGGTTATTGAGCACCGGGACATGTATTACACTTGGCTAGACTCTAAATTCTTTAACTTGTGTGGAATGGGATATTGCATGATGATTTTTATGCTGATGGAGCCACTTCCTGAGAGGCGGGAATGTGGACGTCCTCAGAAAACCATAACGACTCAATGACGGGAAGCTATCATTGGGATCACAATGGGTGGTGGACAGAACCGTCATTGTTTAATATGAACACTGGTATTAAAAACTTGATCACTCTATGCTAGGTCTTAGGCTTGTGAAAAGAATTACAAAACTTGCTTTGCGCAAAAGAACCATAGCCATCCTTTGAATTCCTCTGTCATGTGCATCATTGCTGTGATGGCCTGCTGAGTACGGTTGGTACTCACCCTTGCAAATATAAAATTAACCAGAAGCGGGAGATGAAGCCTCGGAGGATCCCTATGCCTATTACCAGGAGGGAGATGAAGACGATGGTGCTCAGTAGGTCTTAGTACGGTCGTTGCCTGTGGCAATGGCATTCCGCTGCCTTATCTATTTCTGCTTTTGGATATATTCCGGACCGCTCGGTCCGATGATTTAAGACTATGCCTGCGGGCTTATGATGTAATAATTCGTATTAGACACTCGTGTATGTGCACTTGGTACTTCAGCTATGAATTCGTGTGTACCAGACTACTTGATCCAGGGAAATAGTACTGTTTACATGATTGATTCCTGTTATAAAAACGGGGGTCCACGTGTCACCATCTCACCGAATGGTGGTGC